CTGTAGATTATAAAAAAAAGAAAATTTTTGGACAAACATTTTAGTTCAGTTTTACAGTAAATTTCGAGTTAAAATTTTTTTTGGACAAGAAAGAAAAGTTGAAAATTTACTTTAAAAGTGAGTGGCAGCCTTTAGATGTTAAAATTTTGTTTTTGTCCAAAAATTTTCTTTTTTTTATAATCTACAGATTTTACCCTTGTAAGTATATATATGTATATATATCTAAATATATGTTTGTATGGTTATGGCGCTGCCGCTTATCACAAACCGTTGTACGGACGATAAAGCGTGACTGCTACTGCATAACGGTTAAGCACATAAACATTTGTACTATATATCTATGTGTTTGTATGTATGTGTATTTGCAAAAACTGACTCTAAAGCCATCAACTGCAGACAGATTTATAAACGCATAATGTTGAAGCATCACACATATAGTACATATATATGTATGTATGTACAAATGTATGCACATATTTATTTTATATTTACATACCCAGCTACATATGTACATGTGAAAAAAGTATGTACATGTGCATATAGCGCTCCTTATCAAGCATCCAATGCGGCACGTTTCTCAAACAAACGCTAATGGCTGCTCATTTCTGGAAGCTGCGCCTTGTTGACAAGCAGCAGATTTGAATTTATATTGCTTTTACGTGTTGTTATTATTGTTTTGATTATATATATTTACCTTAGTGGAATACAGAATTGCGCATACATTGTAGATATGACGTGTAATGCGGCAACGTTTATGAAATTTTAATGCGTACTAGTTGTTATGATAGCACAAAGTAAAATACACACATACATACAGGCCTACATATGCAAAATACACACATGCAAATATCGAAAATATACGCATACTTTTGACGCTAATATTTGCAAGTCCCTGCATGCATATAAACATATATACATACAAACATACATAAATAAATATATGTATTTAATTTTGACAAGTGCTTTATAATTATGATATTACAATAAGCTATACATACATATGTTCATACATTAATGTACACAAATACATACATTCCAGCATTTGCTTATGTCACATTTCACAACATTTTTAAACTCAGCTGAGTGTGTTTTCTACTGATCAATCATACGTCACTTAGTGCTGATTGATTTGCCGCATCTACAATCATTTAGTAAAACAAGAAGAAACGTTAATTTCGGTAGCACCGAAGCTATAATACCCCACACACATACAAATGATTCCATAAAAAACCTAATTTTGATGTGCCAGTTTTTAAGGCAACTATATCCTATAGTGGTCCGATCTGAACTATTTCTTCGCATATTCTACCGTTGCTTTGGACAAGAAGCCACGTCGAATTTCATGAAGATATCTCAACAAATAAAAGATAATTTCATACAAAAACTTGATTTTGATCGCTCAGTTTGTATGGGATCTATATACCGTAGTGATCTCATCTGAACACTTTCCTCGCAGATTATACCGTTGATAAATTTCGTGAAGATATCTTTTCGAATAAAAAATATTTCCATACAAGGACATGATTTTGATCGTTCAGTTGTATGGCAGCTATATCCTTTAGTGGTTCGATATCGACGATTCTGTTAAACGTTCAGCTTCTTGGGGAGAAAAGAACTTGTGCTAAATTTCAGAACAATATCTCAAAGACTAAGGGACTAGTTCACGTATATACAGACAGACAGACGGACATGGCTAAATCGGCTCAGCTCGTCACTTTAAACATTTATACTTATATAATCTTAAAAACTGTTCAAATTTCTTCTCGCTGCTAAGAGGGTAAGCATTAGTGTGAGGAAATATGAAAGCATCCAGAATTGTGGAAAAATAATTCAATGATCTTTACTTTTCCGTCGAATTCCGTCCAAAACCAACATGTCTTGACCACCATATTCAACACATTTAGTTCCTTTGGATTTTTCACTGTTTCCAATACTGGAAAAGCCAGGAAAGAAAAGCTATTTGCCGTCATAGAGGACATAAAGGTCATATCGCTGAAAAAACTCTAGATTACATATACTTAAAATGCTTACCAATAGTATTTAAAGGGATAGAAGAGATGTGGGCATAATTTTGTTATATATGTAGGTATAATATGAAAAGGACTATTTGGGAGAATATAAACTCATTCTCAATTCATAAATTAAAGAAGAAAGAAAAATTGTATTTAAAAAATATCCAAAGTTTTTAACACATATGTACGTCGTATATAAATTCAATCTGCGATGACTTTTGGTTAGAAATTTAATACAAGTATACTGCCTCATAATGTTGATGGCTCAATCAGCTGAGGGAAAACATTTTGTATTGAATAATTTATATTTGTGACTGGCTGTCTGATGAACTTAGAGTACTAACTACTCAATCAAATCAGCAACCGAAAGGCATGACTAGATGGCAATCATAATTTAACATAAAAATTTTTTTTGAGTTGGAAACTCTGTTTAAAACCCTTTCGACCTAAACATTTCTCCCATGACTTATGTTTGATAAAAGTCTTCTACTATTTGTATAGTATAGTTGGCAATTCTGTTTGCAATATTAACTTAAAGTAATAATTTGAGGTATTATTTTTAAAATTCAAGTACTCTGCAAACGAAAAACACATTTTACGCTGATATAACCTTACTACTTTAAAGTCATGTTTTTCTAAACAGGCGTTTGTCAATAATTTATTCTAAAAGTCTTAATTTCTGATAAAAATAAGTACACATGTATTGTACATTACAGTGGGTCAAAAATAACACTATTTTTCGCTTGATACTCTGAAAAATTGGTTGATAGACAGCTATACAAGTATGATTATGTTATAAAATTTATAGGAAAAAAATTGCCTTAAAATAATCAAGCTTTAACTGTTAAAATTTTTTAAACAGTTAGGTTTTACCAAAAAATCGTACAAGACCTTTTGTGTAGAGCAATCAATTTCCTACAAATACTTAGAAATCTTTTCTAGTAGTTGGAAGCTAGATATAAATTTTTCTATCTGATAATAAGAAAAAAATAGAAAACTGTAAGGCTGAAAAACTTCCCGTTATAAATAAGAGCGACTTTCTTAGAGGTGTCTATCAAACAATTTCTCAGTGTACCAAGCTAAAAAAAATAATCGTTTTGTTTTTTTCCCATCCTAATGGGTCCCCAAACATTTCTAGGTTTCCATTACTCACAATTTATCGCATGATTGTGCCAAATTTTTATTGATGAAAGTTTTGTTTTCCATTTTCCATACAATTAACATAAATAAATAACTGAGTAATTGTTATGTTTGTGTAAATAAATGATTAACGTATGATTTACTGACATAAACGTATGCAATAGAACTAAATACAATCGAATATTGTATGTAACATACATACATATGTACTTATGTAAATAAATACGACTTTTCGCTGTGCTAATAAATATTATATGTATATATCTACTATATAAGTATATGGTAATATAAAATAAAAATTACTTTATGTTCGTTTGTTTGCATTACTTGCCACATTTATTCTAATTACTTCCTAATTTGATTAGTATAGCCTTTCCAATGGCTGTAATGCATGGCATTTAAATACATACATACATATGTACATAAACAACTCCCGAAGCGGGCACTCTACTGTTAGTCTCATACTATTATATTTTAGTATATATATATATGTATGTAAATATATATATTCGCAACAGTTTACTTTCCGTGGTTTACAATTCAAAAGTGTATTTCTACTTTTGGTAGAAATATATTTACATAATTACATATGTATATATTTGCCAGCTTTTTATAATTTATGAAATGTCATATATTTACAAATATCATGAATAATACAAGTAAATATTGTTTAAAATAAATTCAAACATACATGCAAACATACGAGTATTTAAAAATTTATGACAGCCTTAAGTGAAGTAATGTTTACGTACATTACAATATATTTTTTTTCTAAAAGTTACGAATATCCGCAGCAAACAGCGAAAATTAACATTAATTAAGGCTATTGAATTTTTTGTGGTCAACACTGTACTTTATTTTTGTAAAAAACAGAGTAACGGTTAGGACCAAGGCCCGAAAGCTTAATTTCTTAAAGTGGTTATGAAAATGTGAATAGTGCGAAGTGAATTATTAACTGTCTTTGATTCGCCAAACATCAGCGAGTTACGAATCGAACACATTTAACTATCTATTTAAAAAACTAGCAGCACTGACAACTAACTGTCAAAAATTATGAATATTTGGTCGTACTTAAGCAACTAACCACCTCTTTGCATGTCTCATAAAACCCATCCACCTAACACCCCGCTCCCTAGAGTTCGGATTCCTTTGAAACAGCACGTTTTCTGGACCTCCCATTAGATTATTTCTATTACAATTAATTTGCACTTTCCCACAAGCAGGGTTTAGTTACTCCACTACAAAAACCATTATTTGGAAGCACAAGCACTTTCACAGTCCAGAAAATAAATAAGAATATATTAAAATAAAACTAATAAAGACTGTTTATAATATAATACTTTTATAATAAAAAAAGTTTACAGAAATTTTAAATAATAAATAAATATATTCTAACAATTTTCCTTGCTGTCATTTTTAGATATAGTGATTTGTCATTTGATACACAATAGAAAAATGTGTCTGAAAATTTTAAAACAAAACTTAACAGGACTGAAAAAATATCCGCATACTCTCTAGTATCGAAGTCAACTCGCTAATTTTGTTTTTGCTTTTGCAAGGAAATTTTTTGACAAGAGATTTTCGCCCAACAGAGATCGATCATAGAAATGCCGAATCGATGAAAGCTACTATCTAATACTACAACCTTGTTTAATACGCTTACCGCTCTGAAACATCAGTAATGGCTGGTGGGTGATAGGTCATAACAATCCCAAAACTGATGTTATTTTTTTTAAACCAATAATTTGTAAAAATTAGAATGCTTACCAGAAATATATTTTATATTTTAGAAAAAGTCAATAGCAATCAAAGCTAATGTTTCCATTTTTCTATTTTCTCTCTTGACAGATATGAACGCCTCTTACATCGCGCTCAAATTGAAGATCTTACAGAAGTCTCCGGCATTGGATGCCTGTATCAGAGCGGCGTCGATCGTTTGGGCCGACCAGTTGTCGTGTTTTGCGGCAAATGGTTCCCAGCACACAATATCGATTTGGAGAAGGTAAGTGAAACGCGCCATTTACTGACATAATCCGAGTATTTATCGAGCGTCTTTTTTCACCTACAGGCACTTTTGTATTTAATAAAACTTTTGGATCCCATCGTTAAGGGCGATTATGTAATTGCGTACTTCCATACATTAACTTCAACAAATAACTATCCATCACTTCACTGGTTGCGTGAAGTATACAGTATATTACCATACAAGTAAGTACGAGAGCGAAAATATTAAAATACATATATATTAATAAAATAATGTTTCACAAAAAAAAATTTAAAATTTATATAAAAAGAAAAAAAATATTAATGTAGGGAAAACATAAAACTTTTTTTTTACAATTTTTTAATAATATATACAAAATGTATTTTTAATTTTAATAATTTTCTTCTAAATTTTTAAGGTACAAGAAAAACCTGAAGGCCTTCTATATTGTGCACCCAACATTCTGGACTAAGGTGAGCTAAAGAAATACTGAAAACTATTACGTATATATGTAAATTTACTGAAATTTTGTTTTAAATAGATGATGACCTGGTGGTTCACAACATTTATGGCGCCCGCCATCAAAGCCAAGGTACACTCACTTCCCGGTGTCGAGCATTTATACTCCGCCATTTCCAAGGATCAATTAGAGATACCCGCATACATCACCGAATACGATATGACGGTAAGTGTGTATAACTCAAAAATGCAGAGTCATAACAAAAAGCACCTACGCTTCTTTGGTAGTTGATTTTTTGTTGTTAGAGGGCTCAAAATGTGTAATATTATCGCAGATATATAGGGTCAAAGGTGCGGTAGATAGACTGTTTTCAGATGGAAAACTACTTTAGCAGTGTTTATGCACACTCTTCTTTAGAAAAAATAAGAAACGTTTGAGGTCCCTACTTAATACCCCAATCCTTTGCCAATGACACATATGGAGAATATCAGAAATTTAGGAGGTCATATAGATTATAAATATTTAAAGCAAATTTGCAACAGCAACACAGATTTCGATGAGCTCCTTTCAAAAGTCACATCTGATTCGAACCTGCTGATTTCCTGCTGATTTCGAGGCAAGACAAAAGTTACCAGACTCCCTTAACGACAGCCGGCAGGCGTATTGCTGCGATATGCGCTCTAAGGTTCAGGAAAGTTGGGTATATAAAGGGATCTGAACCAGGACACACCGAAATTCTCTCCTCCTTCAACTAACTTCCTCAAAACTTGGATCACTGCGACGCAGAGGCTGCTCGTGGCGGATTTTTCTCTACTCACATATCGACGAGGAATATGTGGTTGGGGTGGAATCGCTGGAGAAGAAGTGCAGTGAGCTTTTTCATGGATAGGTCGAAACTAGGGAAGATTGTAGGGGGAGTTTTCTGCAAGCAGCTCTTCGTCAAACTTAGCTTTAGACTAAAGGAGCACTGTAGTATTTTTCAGGCAGAAATGCTGGCAATAGACGCAGTGCTACGACGTATAGCTCCTTTTAGGGAGGCGAGCGTCCACTCGACAACAGAGCGGCAAAACAAGCGCTGAACTCGCTAACTGTGCGCTTGAATCTAATCAAAGAGTGCCTGTTCACACTAAAAATGGAATCAAGCCACTGATGGAGGATGCGTGATAATAACGTAATCGCTGGCAACTGCAAAGTAGATGAGTTTGCCGGAGGGGGCACGCTTGCCGATCACATCGGAACGGGACCGAGTTGGATATTGGCCTAAAGTAGAATACAGGAGATCTACTGAACTACTTGCCTTTAGCAAAGTTCATCTTGCCGCCATCGTAGGGCTTCTAACTGGGCACTGTCCAATAAGTATTCACTCGAAGATCTCGTACTTTGTGCCTTAAAACATATATTTGAGTTTTATAGAACAAAACCTGATGTTTATAAGAAAAATTTGCAATTTGTTTTCAATAACAACAATGACTTATTCTAATAAAAAAAGTTTGTGATAAAATTTTTCAACTTTAACAAACCTAACTTTATTATTTTCTTATATAATTCCAATGTAATTATTTGTTTATTCAATTATTTACTATTTAAAATTAAATTGCTTTGAATTTAAACAAAAACAACAACAGTAAGGCCAAAAAATGGGTTTGAGTTTGAATTTGCAACCAAACTTTTTTTGCATTTGTTGTCTATTCGGTTAATTAATTGAAATTTCCATGATCCTTCCAGATTAACGGTCTGCATTACTTTACGCCGATGCCGACACCATCATAGATAACTGTTGTGACCATCTAGTCGTCTGCTGGTTCCAGTCTAAACACATAGTAACAACAACAATAACAATATGAAAAGCAACAACAATAAGCGCCTAGTGACGTTTAAAATTATAAGCGTGCACACACACATGCATACACACAATACATACATACGAAAGTAAAAAAACTAAAACTGTGACCAACAATCCATTGAAATGCTGAATGTTGTACCTACTGACATACCTAACACACACACAAACAATATGAATGTGTTTGTACTAAAAATATACATACATATGTTTTGTCAATGAAATTATGCTGCATATAAATACAAAATAGACTAATGTTGGCTAATGCTATATACATATATACACACACACATACTTACTTACACATATTTATATATATATATATATATAGTGAGCGTAATCATTTATAAATATGAAAACGAGTAATATTATTAGTTATTGCAATTATGAAACGAGAGTATTGTTATTAAAAGCTAATAAAAATTGTTATTCTGTGCGAAAAAAAAAGGTTTAGCTAACTAGATTTTCAAAAAAAAAATTATATATATATATAAAATAATAATAACAAACAACAAAAAAAATAATTAAAATTAGTAACTGAAACGTACAGTAGTTATGTAGCACAGCTAAAAAAAAATTATGAGCTGAAAAAATTGTAGATTTACTTAGTTTTGACAACAACAAAAACAAAAACCAACAAAAATGTTCTTATGATGAGCATAGTTAATTAGAACAATTCGGTCGATTAGGAACGTTTTCAAAATTCATGCTGCTAGCAATAAATACACTTATTTACAACAAAACATATGAAGAAATTAACAAAAAAAATATTAAACGTTTATAAATTTACTGACGCATGTACATACTGACAGACATAGATATATACATTTGACTTAAATTATTAAACCAAAATATATATAAATTTAAATTGTATTGTATTGTATTGTATACTTATGCGCAGTAATTGTTAATATTATTACAATTATTTTTATAACTACATATATATGTATACATCTTTGTTAATTAAAACATGTACCGAATTTTTGTATTGAAAAAGCAAACACGCAAAAAAATTAAACATAAAATGTGTGTGTACACAAAGGCAGCAGTGACTGTATGTATGTAAACCAACAAAAAAAACAAAAATGCTATTATATTTTTGCAAATTAAAAACAAGAAAAACAATTTCAAAAGAAACAACAGTCAAAGTATGAATACATATATAAATGCCCAGCGCTGTATACAACAAATAACTTGCGCTTAGCTGTAAAATGTCATGAATACCTGCAAAAACAAAAACATACAAATAATTAAGCAGCCTGACATACATACAAACAATTATACCGTTACTAAAACACGAATTTACTACACAACAAACATATTTACACACACGCGTATATATGTTTTTTTATTTATTTAATTTAAATTAATTATGATGCATGATTTTAACGAAATAATTTTATTGTTAGTAGCATGTTTTTAGCATTTGCAAACAAACAACAAAGCAAACCGCATTATAATTGAAAAAACAAAATTATCAAAAAAACATTTTGTTTTAGTTATTGTACTCTAACGGCGCGTGTTTTGTGGCAAATAATTGAAAAATTTTAAATAATTTATTTTGTTTACAAACAATACTTATTTTTTATACGCAATTTTTTTTCAAATATTTCTAGTACCTTGATTATTGGTGTGCATTTTACTTAATATTATTTTTATTTACGAGTTATACATAAAATAAAATAATAACAATAAAAAAAGTCGAACAAAAAACACTTGAGTTTTTATTCTAATTGTTTGTACAGTGGCGTAAACAGTTTGGGGGCTCAGCGAAAGCGATTTGTAATGGTAGTGGTCATGCTGCAATTAACCGTTTACCCCTTAATCAGCTATTACGTAAGCTTTCTAAGCAAAAAATCAATTTAAATAAATAAATTTTCAATTTCGAAAGATATCGTAAGAAAATTGACTGCAAAATCTCGTATTTTAACCTGTTAATGTCAATTTTGAACATTTTTAGAAAAGTTAATAACAAAAAATATTGATCATAGAAGACTAAAAATTTTATTTAACACTTAAAATAAATTTTAAATTTTAGTAGTAAAAATTTTTTTACCCTTAAAATAAATTTTAAATATTTTTAAATTATTTTACACATATTTTTAACTAATTACTTATTGACTAAAAAAAACTTTGTTCGAAAGGTGCTGAAAATTTTAAATAGTCTAGGAATAATTTTCCGTTTTGAATTTCAATATGACTGCTAATTTTCTAAAAGTCCTTTTTAAAAAAATCGGCGAATTAATTTAAAAGAGCGACAACTCTACATAAGGGTTAAGCTAAGTATTGAAAAGTAGAATAAAACTCTCGTTAACTAAATTTATATTATTTTTGCCAACTTTAAGTCTTTTTAAGAAAATTTTAGATAATCACTTTAGAAAAAAAAATTTAAGCAATACCAATATAAACTTATTCGTGCTTTCATTTAACCCACCAACTACTTTTTTTTTTGAATTTACAACAACAATCTTCAAAGTTCAAAAGTTTTTACTTCAAATATCAACTTAAAATTTAACCCAAAGTCATTTTAACAAATTTAAAAAAAAAAAAATTTTAAATGTTCTCGGCGGTTTTTAAATTTAAAATATTTACTCAAACATAAAACGTTATGTATGGGCAAAAGAATCTACAAATTTTTAGTTTAAGTTTATAAATCAGTTTAAAAATTCATTCTTTAAATTTGTATTCAAATTCGCAAAGATCTAATAAAAAGTATGTATTAAATGATTAAAATATCCAAAAAAAACTTTATTAACTATGTATTTTAAAAAAATCCTGCTAAAAATTTTCAATTAAAAAAAGCGCTCAAAGCTCCAAAAGCAACCTTAAATGCACTAAAAAAAGAAATTGTTTGGTATAATGGGTTAAAAACTTCCACAAAAAACTAGTAATTTCGTTAAAAATCCTCCAAAAATTTTACTAAACCGCTAAATATCGCTGAGATCCTAAAAAATAAATGCCAAATTTCCTCATATTTTAAGAATTCGTGTTAATTTATTGAACCACAAAACCAACAAAAAAATGCCTTGCACACATTTTTCTTCCCACCAAAGCACTTTTAAAAAAATACTTATTGCCAAAATGTGCTCAGGGATTGATTTAAAGGCTTCTGAAACAGCATATAAATTATACATACATATATTATATACATCTCTACAACTCTAAGCTGGTAAGATATAAGTGCTTACAACTTTTCACAAACATTACATAATTATTAATCGCATCAGAGGTTAAAGCAAAAATACAGGGTACTTCAGTAGCAATAAATGCAGTTATTTATATATTAGCATGATTTTTTGATGAGCTGCAAATTTTAACAGAATCATTTTTTTTTAGTAGAAGCACATTAGGAAGTGTATAATGTTTATTTTATTTTGAAAGCTTTCTGGGTTACAAGTGTTATATAATATTTAGGAGTTGGCCAAAAGAAATAATAATTAATGCGCGCCGTAATGAGCGAAAAATAAATTGTTTATAGATGCTTAAATACAATTAAATGCTAATTTTATTTTTTGTGAATATTTGATTATTTTTTGTAAAAAAAATTTAATAATATAATATTTTATATTGTAATGAACAAAATATGTTTAAAAAATATAATAGTATTTCATTTTTCATTTTTTTTTTTAATGATAGTTATAATATTCTTGAAAAGTATCTTCGGCGCAGCCGAAATTAACGTTTTTTCTTTTTTTTTTATTAAAATTATTAAAACAAATAATTATTTAGGCTTCAAACAACAATAAACTAACAATATTATTATTTTTATAATACATTTTTTGTTATATACAATTTTAGCAGAAATTATTATATAACAAATCTTGCAAGGAATAAAATAAAACGAATGAAAACAAACAGATATGCACAATATTTTTTTTAATGAATATAAAAAATATTTTAGAGTCTCCATTGTTTCCGTTGTTTCAAAATCCTAAAAAAAAATAAAAAAACCATTATACCAAACAATTTCTTAAATTTTTATCTACAAAACAGTCAGTATTATATGGTTATAGTTTTTATTATTAAAGCTCAATATATTTCTGCTTTTATAATTTAACATATATGATTTCTTTTAATTTATAGAAATATATTTAAAAAATTTATAAAATATTTTTTATTGATTTTTATTGGTTTTATTTGTAAACCAAGCACAGTTATATTATTATAGTTTCTTATTATGAAAAATTACAAAAATCTGTGTGTTTTTATTTAACAGATATATTTTTTGAAATCATAAATGAATGATAAATTTCATTGAACACATTTAAATTAAACAAACTGTATTCAAATATACATACATATATACAAAAAGATCGTTATACTACATATTTAACACTTATGTATATACTATATACTCCTTAACTCCCCTCTCATTGCCATACAAAATAAGCCCATATATATGTCACTTGCCACTTTAAAAAGAATCTGCACATTTGTTATAAAAATATATATTGAAACCAAAAAATATATATATAAATATATTATTGTAGTTCCAATTAAAATTCTCTGAAAGTACCTGCGAACACCAAATGCATTGAAAACATTGCCTAAAGTAGAACAAATTATAGTTATATAATATATACATATGTACCCATGTACGCTAAAACCCTTTATATGCATTGAATAAACATTTTCCAATTGACTTACATATAAAAATTTCCACTTTCTACTATCTAAAGCTATTGAAGCCGCTTAGAGTGGATAAGAAGACGCGATTTGTTCCTTACTAGTATTAGATATACATTCATACAAACACACACGCGTGACTACTTTTGTACATAAAAGCAATGAACTAGAAAACCTTTACTTGGATTATCGATAAGCTTGAGCTTGATAAATGTTTCTAGGATTTACAATTAAAAAGCATTTACTTCACTAATTAATACGTTTTGAAAAATTATGACTTCTTAATAATATACGAGTATGGCATGTGCGACAAGAAACCGTTATTTTGGCGATGACCATGAAATAAAAAGCATATATAAAGAGATTAGGGCGATTTTCCCGAGCATAAGTAAGATTATGTTCAAAAGTACGTGGAATACATAACTCATTGTAGCATAATTTTTTTTTTAGAGAGTGAAAAAATGCTTTCCGCATCATCATTGTGACGTCATTGGAATGGTATGTGCCACTTGCAGGTCAGTAGAAAACTCTCCTCTAAGGAACTGCCGCCCACCCTGAGACCGCTTTCGCATTTCTTCAAGGTGACGTTCCTTATTTCTCGTCTAGAGACTTACATGCCATTACCTAATTTCAGGTCCCGTTTTTTTTTAACTGTAGAACGTTTTCTATGTATGTTAATTTAGGAGACCAACCAAAGTGTGCAACCTATTTCACTCTATCTCACTCACTTACTATCGATACCAGCTTCGCCTCTGCGGTATGCCAATACTGCACTTAGAGCAGCTGTGCGATACACTTTTTCTAGGGCTTTACGTCGATTATTTTTCCTCAATGAATCTGTCCATAACTCTGCTCCGTAGAACGAAACATTCAGTGTGGTTGACATTAAAAGCTTCCGTTTTTCCCGTGTCGTTCATCCCGTGTTGACCATCAGCCTTCTGAGTTGGGAAGTTATTTCAAACGCCGTTTTTGCTGTGCCTAGTAGGTAAGTCTAGAGTCTAGTCTTACACCCAGGTAATTGACAACCCTTTGTGTCCTTAGAGTATCTATTGTTGTCCAGATGTCTACTATAACCAACCTATACCAGCTCGGTTTTTTCAGTGGCAAGTTGAAGGCCCCGCGCGTCAAGCCACATTTGTGCTGTAATCATAATCTAGTTTAACTTTCTGCTAGGTATGCATCGTCTAGGCATTATGAAGTTTAATATACCGTCGTAGCTGACGTGGGTGACGATCCCAGCGCAGCTCCTGACGTGACCTTTAAGTGTCGTGGTCCTTCAGAGGCTTTTATACAGCAAGATTCTATCTTTCAAATGCCTCCTTTCCATTAGGCTGATATATGTAGTAGTTATTTTAAAGTTCTCTTCTAATGTCGCATAAATAAATTTCCGAAATATATTTTTTGAATAGAGAAGGCATCGGTTTTAAGTATTTTTATAATTTATAAATTTACCTTCAGCGTCGTTTTGGTCTCCTGGTTTTTGGGTGGATCTATAGAAGTATTCAAAGAATACAGTTGTCATCTGTAACTGATTCAATGGCAAGCGGTACCATTTGCTGGAATCTACTCGATTTTTTTCTTACGAAAAGCGATCTAATCAAGTTAACCCAAATAAGTCTCTCTGCCATTGTCTTTCCCTAGCATCGTAAACCTGTGAATGCTTGCGCCAATTTTTAGATTTCTTATTAATGCTGATCAAACCGCCACTCATTTAATCCTCGACGAAGCTATTCGTAAATCTTCAAATAAGCCAAGGTCGAATTCAAAATGATGTTTAATTTTAAGTGATGTTTGTTAAAGTTTTCTTCAAGTGTGTAAATTAAGAAAGATTGAGCTTAGCAATTAAATACGTATTTATATAATTGTTAAAAATAAAAATAATTAGAAAATATGAAATATTAAAATTAAAAAACTTTACTAGAAAGCAAGCGAGCATATTAATTATAAACGAATTTGTTGGAATTTAAGGTATTTTAAATTTAGATTTATTAAATAAAAAAGGTAAAACACAGCTAATAATAAAAAATAAAAAATTAAAAGAAATAATAAAAATTAAAAAATATAAATAATTATAAATAAATATTACAAAAAAAATAATAAAAATTATTAGATAGTAGTTGTAGCAACTAAGCATATATTTTAGAGTAAATAAAACGTACAGGACATTGCATTAGTGCAGAAAAGTGCTTTTAAGCCTAAATCTAGTTACCTGCAAGCCTACTAAATAATAAATAAGAAAATTAAAAAAATATAATCCAAATTCAATTTAGATATTAGACATCGCATTTTTCTAACTTCTTGCTCTCGATTAAATATATAGCTAAACTAACTACTTATATATAAAAATATATTTATAGTGAAATTATTATAAATGGCGCCCAAAAGTAGTCCAGAAAATATCTTCATATTTTCATCTTTCGATATTACCAAGAATTTGTTAGTAAAACATGTATATATACCGATCTTTATTGGCATAAATCTGAAGAATCAGATATTTAGATGAGATTGTATTCAAGTTTTTATTAATTTAATATTAAATTCAAAACAAAGTTTTTTTTTTAAACTGATATTCTTGTATGTTGTTTAAAAAGTTTTTTCTTTTACCTTTTTTATACCCTGAACAGGGTATATAAGTATATAAGTTTGCCACGAACTTTGTAACTCCCAGAAAGAAACGTCGGAGCACCTAAAAAGTATATTTATAAATGATCAGCGTGATTAGCTAAATCGATTTAGCTATGTCCGTCCGTCTGTATATATGCGAATTAGTCCCTCAGTTTTTGAGATAACGATCTGAAATTTTGCACTCGTCCTTTTTTCCCCAAGAAGCTGCACAATTGTGGGAACCGCCGATTTTAAACCACTATAACATATAGCTGCGATACAAACTGAAAGATCAAAATCATGCTATTGTATGGAAAACTTCTTTATTTGACTTGATATATTCAAGAAATTTGGCATAGATTATTCCTTCAAGACAGGGCTACAATCTCCGAACAAATTGTTCTGATCGGACTACTATATCATATAGCTACCATAGAAACCGACCGAACAAATACAATTTCTTCTATAAAAACTTTTTTTATTTGTGAAGAGTATTCTAGCTTCGGTGCAACCGAAGTTAACGTTTTTTCTTGTTTCAATTTCAATTTTTGTTATATTTAATTTTTTTGTTTTTTTGTTAACATAATTATGTTTTATATAATCTTTTATTAGTTCTTTTTTTATTTTGTATTTATTATTGTCAATATTTACTGTATATTTAATATTTATATATATTTAGTATTATTAAATTTAATTTATTTAATTTTTTAATGTAATCTAAATTTTTTTATGACAATCTTTGTTTTTATTTTGTTTTTTATTCAATTTCATATTACTATATTTTTCTTTTTCTAGCTTCTAAACTCATTTATTCAAAAGCTTAAACAAATTTATGAGTCAAAATATATAAAAATTAGGTTGAAAATTAATTTTCTCTAACAATACATATAAGAATTTCTTATTCGAAAAAATTTCAAAATTCAAAAATTTTATATATTTCTATTTTTTATTTAAAGAAATTTGTTGAAGTTTAAATTTTTTTAGAAACTCATGCATATTTACATACTTGCACTCAACCGCTGAAGCATTTCCAATTTAATGCACTCACGACTCATGGCAATTGATACGAAAATCAATTATATTTAACTACTCAAATGAACCGAAGCATATGTATTTATACACAAAAACATACTTAACTGCACAAAATGCATTTGTTCAAACCAAAAAGAAAAAAAAACCCCACGAAATTTGTGTCAACTCGAAAGTACTACTTTGAATTCATATTGAACTCCTTTTTATAAATAATTACTAAACACTTTTTTTATAGGAATATAACTTTATCAAACCATCGTGTATACTTATGCTGTACTTTTGATAAAAATAAAATACAAATTTCATTGTTCCTTTTATACATTAAATAAAACATGTTAAATTAATTATTTAATTAATGTAGATGTTTATGAAATATGACTATTGATTAATTGTAAGAAGCGAAAATATTAAAAAGAAAAATATTTAAATAAAAAAAACCACTTAAATATAAAAATGTTGTTTAATATTTTAAAATACAATTTTATAATGTGTGCCTTTAACCAATTGGTGAACGAGTACAGAGCGCGAAAAGAAAGTTTAGACCGATACTTGAGTTACTACTAAAACTACAATTACAACATTCTCAATATAAAATTGAAATAAAAACCACAATACATCAATTTCCAGACCATTTGTGATTCTGAAAGCCTGACTTCTCTGAGTGAGTGTCCACTTTAGTCTGCAGTAATGTTACTCATACGCACTGCCGCACTACGTTTAATGAAATATTTGTCAACACAGCCAACTCCAGGAAATCAAGTTTGTTGTTATAAAATAGATAATAACTAAATATAATAACATAAACTGATTACTTACCTATATATACATATACTCCTATTCTTTATAGGCTCTCCGACATTTTCTTCGTGGGAAACTTAGTATACCGATATCGGCCGTTCCGACAAATGAGCAGGTGCAAAATTTCAGATCGTTAGCTTAAAAACTGAGGAACTAGTTTGTATATATACAGATAGACGGACAGACAGACTAACGGACAGACAGATGGACATGGCTGAATCAACTCAGCATGCTGTATGTACAATAATTATAGGGTCTCCGACGTTTCCTTCTAGGTGTTACAAACTTCCTGGCAAACTTAATACACCCTGTTCAGGGTATAAAAAACGTAAATAATTATTTCTTAATAACTTCAGATAGATATCAACACCAGATAATCCTCCTGGATGGCTGAAGAATCTATAGGAATCAAGAATAAATCTTTGTCTTTCCGCTAGATCTTTAACGGTTCAACTCATACCAGAAAGATCTAGCTAGCGGGCAAATATTAGAGATTATTCATTGCACTCAGAACGTATATAAGGCACAGCTCTCACCATATTAATCAAGTGAGGTCAAGCAGTTCTTAACCAGTCTTGCTACTCTTATACGTACTTTGCCTTTTGAATTTCGGAACTTACCCAACCCTAGTATTGCAATTTGCCTACTCACAACTTTATCCTAAAATCTGACATTTTTGACGTTATCAAACTTAGAACGTTTTGACATACGAGCGCTATTAGTGTTGTTTACAGTAACGTAAAATATTCATCTCAGCCAAAAAAAGAAAATAATTCGCGAAGACGAATTTCGTGAAAGTGGTGCAAAATCAGTTGTTGTTTCGGAAACTATTGATGCTGTGTGCAAACTGATATTGAAAGATCTTCATGTCACCTATCGTAAGATTGAGACAAATATAGACATTAGTGGGACCAATATACCTATATGCAATATTACATGAACATTTGCCTGTAAAAAAATGTTGTTCATATTGGATCCCACACAATTTGTAAATCGCTCGAAAAAAGACTCGTGTCCATTGATCGAGAAAAATGTTAAAAAAAAACGATAGCGGTGCTTCGAAACACGTGTATGACATCGTGACATAAGAATAATTTTTTTGCCAGAAATCAAGAAAACCAGCTACCGTAGACGAATAATTCTTCACCACGACTATGCAAGCTCTCGCATATCAACTAAAGCAACTGCTTTTTTTAACACTCAAAAACTCGATTTGATGAGTCATCCACCATATAGTCCTGACTTGGCACCGATTGACTTCTTTTTATTTCCGTACGTAAAAAATAACCTAAGTTAACGTGTTTCGACACCTGAAGAGACGGTTGATGTATTTATACCTCATCAGAGTGGCAAAAGTGCTTCGACGAAAGGTTCTTCTAACCCATGCAAAACTGTATAGATCTTACTGGAGAATATTTTTTTAAAAAAATGTCGATGATTAATATTTGTTTTTGTTCTCTAATTCAGAAATTTAAAAAGCAACCATAGTATCACTGTAAATATTAAAAAATATGTGAAAATAGATATTGATAGAAAGCTTACAAATTTAAGTTTCCCTATAAGGTCAACGAGAACGAAAATAGGAGCCAATTCTACTTAATAATTTTTTTCGATCCTAAATTTTGCTCAGCCAGTTAGCAAATCTTGGCGATGAAAGAAAGAAAACCACACAAATAAAATCTTTTAGGTAAAAAAACTTTGAAATTCATGTATATTTTATATACATACTTGTAGTACTTATATACATTCATATATACATACGAGTATGTATACAGATTTTTTTTTTCTAATTTAACAAATTAGTGCTCACACACGTTATCTGCTAATACTTATTTACAAAATTAAATAACAATACACACACAAGCAAACATATGTGCTGCAATAAAGAGCTCATACGTTATGTAATCACTAAATTGACATTTTTGCCATTTTCTATATATTTTTCTTTGTATTTCTCAAACATCTCCGTCAGCTGGTCAATGACTTGCTTGTGAATTTTGTCCACATACTCGGGGTCGGGAATGTCGTTCTTTTCGACCTCAATGGGCTTGCCAACTGTAAGAATTGTTCAAAATTACTTTACAGTTATGAATGTTATTGTTTATTGAAGGTTAACTTACCAACTTGCACGATATGCTTGCGCTGCGGCAGAAATCCAAAGGTATACTGGAAGAAACCACGCCCCAAAACAATCAAAGGCGAGATACCGGTTAGTCTCTTGGTTAAAGTTTGAAAGCGTCGCAAAAATGAGTTGGGTGGATTATTGACTTGGTCAAATATCTCCACTTCGCCGAAGGAGAATGTCGGTACAATAGGTGAGCTAATGAAAGGGGGAAATCGGAAATAAGGCAAAAGTTTTATTATTCTATTTAATATAAAAACATTTCAATCATAAACTAATAGAGCTTTAAAGCTCCATAAAATCAGTTTTTATCAAAATATATTAATTAAAATGGAAAAAGACTAAGAAGTCATTAAGATAAATTATGCAGCAGAATTATTTGGTTAAAGTTTTTAGCCTTGGTCCATAAACTCGCGATCCCGTTATTGTATTATAATATATGAAAGGGTTGAAATTCTTATGGAGCATTCGCTATGCATTTTAGACATCGCTAAATTGTCCAAGAACTAACAAAAGACATCATAGCCATTCGAACTTCTTGTCGAAACATTTCAATCGTTTAGTCATCTAATATCAGGGACGGTAGTAAAAGTCAATTATAAATTACAATTTTATTACATCGGTACAACCGTACAACCCCTTTCATCTTCTTCCTAACAGCTGATGCAGCTGGCATCCGGTAAAATACTCAATCTTATTGTATGAATGCCGATGCTGGACAGTGTCCACTAGAACTCCTACAATCATTGAAAGATAGATCTTGCTGAGAGCAAAGAGTTCCCTCGACCTCTTACGATTTATCCTGTGCCAGAAGGATCTGGCGACTGCACAACTGCTGGTAGTCGACCAGCGCTTGTTGATTTGGCTGAGGCCCAACAGTGCAGTAGTGAACCACAAGATGCCAACCCAGCTCCTACCCGTTCCCATTTTATAGTTATTGAGACTGAAGTACCTGTCCTAACAAGCTCATCATTCTTACAATACCGCTGTGACCAGGTACTCAAACCACTCTAATCATAAAATAAATCGATGCTACAGATAAGAAATCTGACTACCCTATCGGAGTAGGTATACAGCTACATACATGGCAGTCACCTCTGTTTGAAGAAGCTGCAGTCATCAGGAAGCCTACAACTGGAGCTATTGGAGAGTTCCCGACAAACCGACTTTGATCCATCCGTAAACAAATTCACCACCCCTCTCCTCCAGCGAGTCCTTCCCTCCCATCCCTGCCCCGAAGGTAGTCCAAGTATTTTAGAATGATATCAAAATGTGAGAGACCCAGGCTCGCTGTCATCCAAATACCTAGATTCTCTGAGTCTGAAGACAGCATTTACACCCATTACAGTCTCATAGTTGGTATGGTCCGTAGTGCACTTCAAATACTTATAAAAGCAGCCGACGATTTTTTCGCGATTCAACCACAAACCAATGCAAAGCTCTAATGACCGCTTCCAGCAAAACGTTGTTGAATGCCCTCTCGATTTCGAGAAAGGTTCTCATTGCAAACTTCTTGTTCCTTATGCTCCTCTCGAGCCAGGAGACAAGAGACTACAGAACTGCCAAGTTCTTTCAAAATTACTCGGTTGTATTTGTATATAATTTATTCAAAATGAATTGCTTTGGAGCTTAATGAAAAAAAATCGACCATTGTAGTTCAAGCGTTCAAGGGAAAAATTATCAAACGTAGTTTGAAGTCTTAGACAAACCACGAGTTTTTAACAATATGCAATACTGGGATAGTAAAACGAAAGTTGCGAAACCGGAATAACCCCCTAAAAATCAGTAAAGAAGTATCAAACCTTGACCAGTCAATGTCACCCCTTTTGAATATCGGACGTCGGGAGATTTTCTGTTGATTCGCAGTGTTTTATGGTCCGTCATCTTGTAAACAGTAATAATTAAAAACTTGTTCACACATTTTCAGCCAGACATAATGTCGCAATGTCGACTTCCAATTAATATTTCGCTATGCCTAATGAAAAAATTGGCCCAAGCAGTCACTTTTTGATCGTACAATATCGATTTCTTATCTCGAATGTATTATTAATGCCGCCAGATAGTGTAAAATGTGTTGGACGAACCGTTCATTAAAGTTCTGTAATATTATTGTAGCATATCGATATTTGTGAACTCCTCCTCTGGATCCTCCGATTATAAAAAAATAAACCGTCTTGGACATATATAAAGTTACAAAATGAATTGTCCGTTTGTGTCTACGTGCCTCATACACTTTATAGTTTTATAATATATCAAAAATAAAACAATCTTTTAGTGCTTTATAATCATGCTTATCACCGGCGATTGCGCCGTAACAAAAACAACAGCGACAAATTACAATAAAAATACAGTCAATTGTTTGATTTATAACACACTATCTCCAAAAACTCACCCTGTGCGTATGGCCAATTTGACAAAACCTTTGCGCCTTTTTAGCGTAATTATATAACGTCCCGGATGTGAGTCCAAAGCCTCTTGAGCGCCACCCACCAAAATCGCGACAGCATTCGAAGTGAAACCATCAAGATTGACGGCATGTTTCGGATGATTCGAGGCTGATAGATAATGCATCAATGATTCCTTAGAGACCGAGACCATACCCCAGTAACGTAGAGCTTCGCGGAAAATGGGTGTGTAAAAATGCATATCTAGAGTACCGATTTTGGGACGTATGCCCGGAAATAGTTTCAACCATTGTTTTATATCCCTGCTCATATTGCAGGTGATGCCGGTGCTAATTCGTGTATGTAAAAATAAAACCGAAATTAAAATAAAATGTGAGCAATTTACACAACAACACGCACTTACCCTATTATTCCATGTGGAAAGCTGGCCAAAATGTAATTGCGATCGGCGCTCAAATCGGCGGTTTTTATCAATTCAATGGGAAAGTAATCACGAAAGTTACTCCATATACAATTACTACGAAATATCATAAAGCTGCAATAAACGTAATTAAAATTATTAGAGATTCTGTGGAGCTTAATAAAAGCTTTAAGGGCCAAAAGGCTTTTAAGCTTCTTGTTAATAAAAAACAACACACATAATTATATTGTGTTCGGATAAACTGAAGTAGTCACATACCCATTGCCATTAATATCACTGAAATTCCTCGTATGATCGAAGTAAACATAAGTCAAGTATGCCAGAGTCAAAAGCCTCCAAAATAGATTACCATAATACTGAAATTATGTAAAGCAAAACAAAAATAAATTACATAAAATCAAAACGACAAAATGTAGATAAATTATGAATATAATGTATTAAAAATTAAATATATATGTAGATATATAGATAGATACAGAAACCAAAACTTGTTTGACAAAAGTAAGGCAAAATCCAGAAATTTCTCTTATCAAATGGCTTACCCCTTACATTTCCGCACAATTCCTGAAACATTTTCTTGAACTTTTTCCTTATAGAAAAGTCCTCTGGTCTTGAAAGGCATTTTCAAATTTTATGTGGGTATATCTTAGGATCGCCGAAATGGTTTATTAAATATTAAGTAAATCTTTTTGTTGAGTTCAATAACACCTTACGAGAACTCTGACGTTATACTCTTAAATGTACCGGTCGCTCTTCAACCCGTCAGAAAGGATTCTAAACCAAAAATAATTTTATTTATATTTTAACTGACAAAAACTTTTAAAGTTTCTTAGCAAAAGGCTTCAATTACGTCGAAACAATTTCGTATCCAGAGTAAAAGCCATTCGGGGTCTGATAAGTTTATAAAGGTCTAGTTAAAATAAATCCAATATATGCGCTAGAAAGATAAGATTTCAAGATTTCGTACTACAAAATACCTCTAAGAGGATTTCGTGATCACTTGACTCAATATTGTTTGAGCACCCGTCAAAACTGAACACCAGCAAAGAAAAAGTACTCATATTTTACTGTTATGCGAGTACTTCAATAAAAGTGGGAAAGCAAGCCAGGTGGCAGAAAGTTTGAATAGGAAATGTCAACGGTACAGAGCGCTCTGGATGGCCAATTGTCAAAAATATTAGTAAAATAATGGAAATCGTCGAGTCCAATCGTCATATAAGCACTGTTTCCAGGAGCTAAACATTGTACAAAATATTGTTTAGATCCATTTTTATAAGGCGGTAGACAGAAACGATCAATTTTCGTAGTGAATGGTTATTGATGATGTATGACGACCTATGATGACGGTAGTGGTCGAATCGCGGCTAGACAGAGCAAACGGTGTTCACACAAGGAATGTTTTGTTTTATGATTTAAAGAATGGTGAGTGAATAATCTGTTCAATCTCTTAATTCGAAACTATGCTATCACCATGTGGACCATCTGAAGGAAGCGTTCGTCCAGAAACGAACAGCTATGGCCAGTGAGAGAGCAATTGTGTTCCATCAAGACAACGTCAAACCGCATACATCGTTAATGAAGGCAGCTGGGTTGAGAGGTTCGTATGCATCCACCTTATAATACGGACCTTACATCAAGTGATTACAAGTACTATCTGTACTTTTTTATGGCGATAAAAGCTTGTGAAAATCGACTGTCCCAGTTTTTTCGGGAAATAGGGACGAGGGTTTCTATAAAAGTGTGATTATAAAATATTCTTCTAAATGGCAACAAGTTATCGATTATCTGTTTTGATGAAGAGGGATAAGAAGAGATCTGCAGTGGTATTTTAAGGCTTTGAGAAACAACAAACAAACAATGAACAACAACAAAATCTTCTTAGATTAATACCATTAAATGCATTGGCTATCGAAGGTTTGGTTGTTAAAAAATATAATTTTGTGATTTGGACTTTATTCTCTTCTTGCACCATTTTTAAACACATATGACCGTAATTGATATCATTCAAGAGCTGCTAAGAATAATCAGGTCAACACATATTGAAAGAGTTAGTTCGCACCAAAAAAAACGAATATAGAATTGTATGCGGATCGTGAAATTTAAAATTTTACACCTTTCGAAACAAACTTGTCAGCATTGCAATAAAAATACACTTCGATAAAATAAAAGTCAAACTCACCAACAACGATGTAATGATAAGTACTGATATGATCGGCACAACCATAAATATCAGCACGTAGAGACCTGCAGCAAGAGTCTGCAGTCGTCGCTTTGGTGGCACATGCACCGGCGCCCACTCTATTTTCATTGTTTTTGTTTTTTTATCACTATAAGTTTAATGTTTCACGGATTTATGTATTCAGATTTATATTGAACACTTTTCACTTCACGATCCAATCGAAACGTTCAACTTCACACAACGTCTCAGTCACAACTGAGGTGACCGAACACTTTCTTAGCACCGCTTAGGAGAATGGGTATCTACACATAGTAACGAAGGGTGTAAGAAATAATAAAATAATAAATAATAGAGCAAAATAAAACGAGCGTACAATTCACCTTATCAAACTAATTTTTTCGACTAGCAAAACTGGCAAAGAAATACTTGTCCTCGTTCAACGACGCGTCAATTAGACATACGCTTCGATACTGAATACTGAAGACATAATGTACATGTTCTACTGATAAGCATCATAGAATAATTCGAACTAAGTAATCAAAATTTTTTGATTTATTAACCACTGGCTAAGCGTACGCACATATTTGTCACAATAGACGAAGGAATACGTAGGCAGTTTGATAATTCGGTGAAGATTTTGAATTGTTGCGTTTTAACTCTGTTGTTGTCAACTACCATCTCTGATTGGACTAACTACATATAGTTAATAGTTGTAGATGGTTTAAAACCGACCAAACACCATCAATTTTGTTTCATAAGATGTGCTATGCTGAGAACTATTGTGAGCATATCGAGACTAAATGAGATCGTCATCTAAGAGTAAGGCAGCTGATGTAATAGACAACTCAACTAACTAATCGGAACTGCGCCTAATCACTCGAATTTGTATTGGACGAACTTCAACCACGGCTTCAAAAAATCTATTTTGTTTATTGTCTTATTTAATTCTATAACATCTCTAGAATATTGTCCTAAATGCTCAACTTGATCCGAGCAATAGCCTTGGGGATACAGCCACAATTTGGAAAATTTTACACAGCTCTTTCATATAGAATTTACAAGGTCTTCAGCGATGGAATTTTCATTTAATCAAATACAATAATTCATATTTAAACAAAAAAAAAACATCGAAATTTTCACCAAAATTTCCTTTTTTTTTGTAAATAAAATTTTCCCTTTTGTATTTCGTTCAAAACCTAGTTTATGTTCTTAATTAAAACACGTATTTTTTTCTATTTACTTCATATGATCCTGTAAGAAGTTCTGTTCTCAACGCGAAGGCACCTTTTTTGCGAGGGTATGGCGAAAATGACGTCGTAGTGGCCGAGTTTTGAATATTTTGCTTTGAAAATTTCACATAATCTTTGTAAAATATGTACATATGTAGTGTCTTTGGAATAATAAAAAGTCTGAATAAATTATTTCATTATTTATATGAAATAAAAATTATTGGAAATAGTCCGTTTGTTGCTTGAGAAAACCTATGCAACGCCTTAAAAGTAATCAAAATATGAGTACGCTGGCAGAGACCAAGTATGTTAAGACTCATGGCAATGGACTCTTCTAAGTGAATATATAGCAAATAGGTCTGATTCTGTTTAAAATGTACGGAACTTATAAGCAGCAAATTTAATTGGCTTATCTGGGGATTTTTCGTAATGATTGTAATTACTTCCAATCGGCTATATTCACGCGACAAGTTTTAAATCGATTCTGAACGTTTGTTAAATTTATTTCATCGTTTTGATCTTAGTTGGAGAACGAACCAAGGTGATGAAGACATAACAGTGCTCTATATTACTTGTATGTTATATAAATGAAAATAGTGTGTTTCTATCATGGATGCATAGATGGAATCAGCTTAAAGATTGCTCGATCTGATTCATTAAACTAAATCACCAGCTAAAATGTATAGTCCGAAGGTTGAAGAAGCTCTATGACAAGCACCAGGATAAGTATTTAATTTTCAAAAACTAACGCACTTATCAAACTTTCCTCGTACAATTTTCATTCAAAATGCTATTATGTCCAGAGAAATCTAAATATAGCGAAAGTCAATTTAGTGAGGGGTTTAAAATATTATTTATTTTACATATATAAGAACTATTTGTATATATTATATCTAACAATGAGATTTACAAATGTTTATTCGTGGATTGCCAAAAAGACTTTTGAAAGGACTTTGAACTAAAAAGGCAGATCGATAAACACAAAGAGACATTGCTCAAAAAACGTATATCTGTGAAAGTTTTTTCTTTCTAAAATTAATAAAATTATGAACAAAGAATTAAAGAAGTAAAGAAGTAAAGACTTTGAAGAAAAAAGCTAGAAATCATTTTTATTACTTATATGTATATGTTGCCTTTAATTCACGTTTAAGACGAAAGTTAGTATGAGACATTATCCTCTAGCATTAATTTTGACTTAATGATAAAATATCAAGCATATAGGTTAAGGGTTTGGTATAGCACAAAAGAGTATATTTAAAATTTTTCTGTATCAGTATTATTCCAAAGACACTATATCCTCTAAAATGTACCTACAAAGTTTACATATCATACTAGTTTATTCGACAAGTTACTATACTATCTTCTGATTATGAATGGAATCAAATAAATTCAAATCGGAGCAGTGATGTGATATACAAAAGAGTTCTCTCTTTTGCATCTAATAATCTTGCTGTAAAGCCACACAGCAGTTCAAAATTATATCGCATGAATGTTGTACTTATACATTGTGCGGCTGCTGATTCACATTTTTTTTTATCTAGCATTCCGATAAGTTCGCTAAATTCGACCTGCTCAATAGGTACTTCATATGTTTTTTTTTGCGTTTTACGAAAGTTTTAGCTGTGAACCGATTTTAATTTTTTTTTTCGTTGAATAAGGTTCCACATTATCAGCAGAGATTTTAGAGTATTCTAAAGGAGTCCATGAGACTGCCCGAGCGATACTTAATTTCTTTGAACTACTTTATCGTGTTTTCCACAAATTGAATCAACTTGAAAAAGTTCTAATGGTGCTTGTAGAAAGATAAGAAACTATAAAATGCAATTCATTAAAATACTCTACGTGAATATGTGTCATTGTTTCACAAAAGCCCTTGTAAGAACATATAGCCAAGCAACACTGTTTACTATTTATTTAAGATAAGCTGATATCTTTGAAATAAACAAGTATTTCTTAACTGTAAATATGTATGTGAAACTATTTTAAAATTCAAATAAAAATTGTTAATTCCTTCATTACCACTGCGTCATAAAAGTATGTGTATACAATATGCAATAACTATGTGCATATGTATTGATGCATTTGTAGACGTTTAACGACTTGAAAACAAATGCTATTATCGGTTTAGAAATGTATGACGAATCAATTATTACATAAGTATATTATATGTGCTTTAGTTTTCATTGTAATATTTTTGCTTTCTTGATATATTATATACACGCGCATCAGTTTTAAAACGACAGCTCAAGAAAAGAAGAAGTCTCCGACTTATAGCAATTTTATGTAGAGCTGGCACAGAAAGAGAGTATAGCTAAGACGGCAATACAGCATTTTTTCCATAAGCGCACGAAGAAGCTCAAATGAGTACTATTTCTTTTGAACAGGTATAAAACTCATCTATTTCTACCTAAAATCTGACAATTGATATCTGGCATCGATATGTGGAAAATACGAATTTATTTTATGGAAAAAGTCAGTTGAACTTGTCGTGCGTACTAGTTGCAAAATAGTTTCTTACTAGTCGTAAAGTAGTTTCAGACTAGTATTTTTCCCTATAGGGTATCTTCGGATTTCAATTAGCTGTCTGTAGCATTTTCTTAAAACAATTTGCTCCTAAGAATCAATCATAGTGGTTTTTCGATTTTTTACTTTTATTTTGCTTGAAATTAAAAGTAAATACTTATTTGAAGGTTACTAAACTAAATTATATAAATGCTAATTAAGTGTTTAAGCACAGAGTAATTTTATGGAACACCTACAATGCAAATATATATGTACATATAAATACGAGTATATGTAAATATGTATGTATGCACAATCATTGTTTACACTTGACATGCGTTGTCAATTGTTAAAACAACAACACATGTTTTAATTAACGATTTTACTGGATCAAAAGTTTAATTTATTTTTGTTTGGAAAATTTTTTTTTTGCTCATTGAAAATCAAACGCGCACTTTTTGACACAAATTTTGGTGGTATATTGTGACATACACATATACATATACAAGTATATGTACGCCTACATATGTATGTAACTTTACGATTTATCGCTCGATGATTTGTAGCACTATATCAATATCTTTATTTTAGAACATTTTATAAACATTTGTTTATATTAAAACTGAACTTAAAATAAACTTTTACCGAAATATTATCGTAATTTCAATCTTTTCCAACGACATTAACGGTAAAAATATAAAGCAATATTTTAAAATCACTTTATAGTAAAATGAATATCCGTATATTTTTCTTTTAAATGTTATTTTCTTTTCTTTTTATTTTTACTGCTTTTTTAATATTTTCATATTTTTATATTTTTTTTGTTTCTTTTTCTACTGTTTCTTATTCAAACTTTTATTACTTTTTATATCATTCACACAATTATTTTTATACAACCGCAAACAAATTGATGTATGTATGTAAGCAATGTCGTAAAATACATAAAATAAAATTCAAACGTTCTAAACTGACACTCGTAACCAGCGGCGATTTGCAACGACTAACAACTTGTAATGCTATCGAATGAATATTTGATTCAACGCTGCAAATAACGAGTAGTTGTTAGCGATGTGTCGAATAGTCGAGTTCGGTGCGATATCCCTGTTATTCAAATTTATAGTAATTGTGTTTTTACGTTTAAAAAAAAATATTTTCACATAAAATTTTTATAAAAATAAGTAAACGATTTAAATAAAATATTTTTTTATATATGAATAAAGTTGTAGAACAAAATAAAAACGAAAGGCATCCCATAATATTTAAGCTATAACAGTATATACCTAGTGGCTGACCAATTGGAAGTAAATCCTGTATCTGTGTTAGAAAAATATCAACTCCAAGAAAATTATTCAAAAACCTCCTTCTCAATTTCTTCAAAAAAATTTTGGAGTTGATGCGATTTCATCATTAAATTGAAAAATAAACCAAAAAAATATTTCAAAATTTATCTTTCTGGAGAGTAAAAAAAAACAAATAAAAGTTCAATGCAAGGTTAAAACCTCCGGTCCAATAAAAATATATATGTATGTAACTCGTCGGAATGATAATGATGACGAAAATCATATACATTTATATATAATATATAAGTCGTAAAAGTCACTACCTGAGTTAAATATCCATTACAATTCGTTTCGAAAAGCAATACACTAGACCCAAGACCATCTAAATATACTGAAAAGAAAACAAGAAAAACGTTAACTTGAACTGCACCGAAGCTATAATACACTTCGAAAATACAAAATATTCCTTTCAAAAACTTGATTTTGATCTGTCAGTTTGTACGGCTATATGCTAAAGTTGTCCGCTCTGAACAATGTCTTCGGAGATTGCACCGTTGCTTTGGACAATAATCCATGTCAAATAAAAAAGTTTTCATATAAGGACTTAATTCCAATCGTTCAGTTTGTATGGCAGCTATATGCTATACTGCTCCGATATCGAATAGCGGTTCCGACAAATGAGCAGCTTCTTTAGAAGGGAAGGGCGTGTGCTAAATTTCAGATCGACATCTCAAAAACTGAGGGACAAGTTCGCTTATATACAGACGAATGGGCGGATGAACAGACAGACGGACATAGCTAAATCGACTCAGCTCGTCATGCTGATCATTTATATATATATTTTATAGGGTCTCCGACGCTTCCTTCTGGGTGTTACAAACTTCGTGGCAAACTTAATATAACTTATGCAGAGTATAATGAATGATGAAATCACTTCAGCTTTTTTGCTTTCACACAGTTTTAGTAGTTCGTATTGATGTTGAATCGCAAAAAAAATGGATTCCTATTAAAAAAAAAATGTCAAGGTCATATCAAGGTCGAACCATGTTAGTAAAAGATTTGAAGAAAAACTTTATGCTCATACGGTATCTTCAATTCTTGCTAGAAATACCGTTAAGGTCAAGGTCAAATCAAGGTTAAAACTTGTTAGAGAAGAAATTTATGTAAGCATAAATGTATAAGCATCATTTTTTATTAGCTTTTCTTTTAATGATCAAAATTACAGTTGGTGCCGCTTCCATTTCCATAACGATCGGGTCTATGTAGTCTGAACATTGATATGACAACCATAGTAATTTGATCAAAATTGTTAAAACAACCGTTAGTCACGCTTCCCGAAAACAAACGTACATCTCCAACGCCAGCACAGCGTGAACGAATTTACATCGATGTGAGGCTTCTGTTCAAAACAATTGCATTTAAAGCGCGAATTCTCATAAATTTACATATTTTTCTAAATGTATGTATGTATGCACTATTTGTGCTTACATATTAAATAAAGTAAGGTGTCTATATGTATGGTTTCTGCGTTTGTAATGTATTCTCTGACGCTTCCATTGGCTTTATATTGCTTTGTCATTGTTGTATTTGTTTGTAATATTATTGTTTGCAATTTTCAAGTATGTGTGCGTGCGTATGTGTCATAGCTGATCACTATGACCGTGAGTGACGTGTACATCGCGTCACCGCTTGGCAACTCGCTCGCTGCCGCTTGCTTGACAGCTGATAAAGCGATCGAAATGCATGTGCGTGTAACTTAGCGAGGCATTTTTTCCACACTTGGGCCTTTATTCTTAATTTATTTTATTATTACAACAACACACACTTAATTCAATGTTTTCTTCGCTTATTTCTCTGAAACTATACTATCATTGTTGATTGTTTGCAATCTCTTATAACAGTTATGAAGTGTTTGGGCAGTTTGAGAAAGCAACCGTCGAAATTAGGGGTCGAAAATAGTGTACCTGGGATTACTATATGTACTACTATATGTATTTATGTGTACACGCGTCTTGCTATTATTTACCGTTTCAAATTTTAAGTATACATGTGAGTACAAATATTTGTATGTATACATGTACTATTTGGACTATGAATTCCCTTATCGGCCTCAAAATTTAAACAAATGATTCATTATCTACGTTTGAAAATCTAAATAGCTCGTCAAGAGTTCTACTTTGTACCCAAAACTACGTATATTTCAGTAAATAAGTTATTATCATGCCCATTTGTACGCTTAACCACTTTTAAGTCTGAATGAAATGACTATTTCCAACGATCGTATTCTCTAAAATACCAGACGTTTCTGAATTTGGAACTTACTATATAATGGGTGTCTTTTTAAGAGTTTTGGAATTCGCTAGAGGAAAACTGGGAACCCAGCTGTCAAAGTAAACATATGTGTTTGGAAATTTATGTTCAGTATACTTAAAAGAGACTTATATATCTTACACTACAGCTTGATTTGCAAACCAAAGGCATTATTGGTTCAACTATTTTTTTAACTGAATTTACCGCAAATTATAACTAATTTTTTATTCCACATGCCAATGCTACTCGTCTAAGTTCTTAATGGTATCAACTGGGCGTGAAACTATTACAATCAAGAAATGTGCATGTCATTTGTCCGTCGAGATCATGATGGTCATATGCCTTAAATTCAATTCGAACACAAAATTCCTTAAAATTACAAAATTCCAAAGCCAAGATTTTTTTGTTTTTTTTTTTAAATAAAAAGTCAAGAACTTGAAAAACTACCCTTTATACACATTTTACAAATTTTGTATCAAGGCGTTGGTTAGTTATACCCAGTACAGGGTATATTATGTATGCCACGAAATTTGTAACAGCCAGAAAGAAATTTCGGAGACCCTTTAAAGTGTATAATATATATTTGAGCAGTTTGTCTGTATATATGGCACATGAACTAGCTTTTTAGACATCGATCTGAAATTTTTTACACGTCCCTTTCTACCAATAACCTGTTCATTTGTTGGAACCGCCAATATCGGACCACTATAGCATACGCTGCCATACAAACTGATCGATGAAAATCAAGTTGTATGGAGGCAAACAGTTGGCCAGTTACCTTTTCAGATTCAGTTATACATATACATACAAGTATGTATATGATTTGTACCGATAAGCATTGGATGTATATAATATTGATCATTTAATAAACCTAGACAAATATTATATATTAATATATTATGTACTCATAAAAATTCTAATCAGAATCCAAGTTGTTCCGAATCCTTTCGAACGAGTAAGAGTTATTGTTCGATTTTGTTTTTTTTTATGTTGAAGATTCAACGCTTGACAGAGCAGAGCTTGATACTAATTCCGTAGAATCGCTACAGCGGGAAAGAAACTTTTTTTTGTACAAGATAGAAATAAAAAAATAAAAATTTGGATATTTGAATTTTTCAAACGGCTTTGAGGTTATGTGAAAAAAGTTTTAATACAAAAGTTATAGATCTTTTTATTACTTACAACTTTGCTTTATAATTTTTTTCTATAGAACTATAGTTTTGCCGGAAATCGAGTCAAACCTTTTTTAACTCTTAAAAAACCAACCACGCCCCTCCTCTTCCTCTTCCCGGCCTCAGATCGCCCATAAATTATTTTTCCTTTAATTTTTGAAATTTTATCTTTAATTTCCAATGTATTTCACCATGAATTTCTGTTAAAAAAAAACTACAGATTTTACCAGTTCCGAACAATATCTGGAAAATAGCTCTTTCGCCAAATTGTAAAGGTTGTTTGTGATAATTTTTAAGCTCCTGGTACCAACGGCAAGAATTGCCGGAAAAATTGTCACAACCTTCCCCTGTGTTATGCAATTTTTTTTTTCAAATATTTCATCCGTTTGACTTTTTAAAGTTTCAACTTAGTTGTTGATAACTCCATGACCGAGCAGAGAAAGCAGCAACCAAATGTAATTGGATTTGGGGCGCCATGCCAGCGTTCACCAAACTATAATTTTGTAATGACCTCTCCATTACCCAGTTCAAATAAAGTTAATAACCCGCAAGCATTCAATATTGTAATTACACAGTTGCAATGCATTTGCTTTTAAAACATGTTTTTCAAGTTTTCAATAAGAATTTTGCACCATGACTCTTTTCCACTTAATTACAGACATGTGAGATAATTCTTATTGCTGCTAAGCAAACACATATGTATATACACATGTACATTAAGGTGGATAAATAAAATGAATGTTTTTTTTTGGCTTGGTACTCTAAAAAATTAGTTGATAGACACCTCTAAGAAAGGCTCTCCAAGTATGAGCTCTTAATTGTAACGGGAAGGTCCTCCACCTAAGGATTTTCAATTTTTTTCTTATTATTATATAGAAAAATTCATATCTTGCTAATTTTAAACTGCGAAGCTCAAAGTCTTGTAGGAAATGTTCTGCGCTGGTCTGTCGAAATGGTCGCGATGTTCATCGTCAAATCAAAGTAAGTAAGTGATTAAAGTAAAATTCATGTTTTTGCATTGACTTTCAAAATTCAAAAGAAAAAGACAAATTTGCCTTAAAATAGTCAAACTTAAACCGTTAATATCTTTTAAACGGTTAGGTTTACGAAAAAACCGTTAGAGACCATTTTATAGAGCATTCAATTTGCTACAAATTCGCTATGAAGCGAGATATTTTTTCTAGTAGTTGGAAGCTAGATACGAATTTTTCTATATAATAATTAGAAAACATAGTTCGCCCGTTTGGCGGAGGACGTTCCCGTTACAATTAGGAGCTCATACTTAGAAAGTCTTTCTTAAAGGTGTCTAACAACCAACTTTTCAGAGTACGAAGCGAAAAAAAAATTTTACTCACCTTAATGTACATGCATATATACAAACATGTTTAATAGCTAAATTACAGCTACAACGATTAATAATTAAGGAGCCTTGGAACATGTCAAAGTAATTGAATATTTAAATCTCGGTTGTTGACTTAAATTGTGGCAAGATATAAAATACATATACATACATATGTACAAACAGATTCCATAACCAACGCATACTTTGAAAAACTCTAGTTGAGTCTCTAAATTTACAATTATTCAGATATTGAAAAGGATTACCCAACACAGGTTCACTTCTTTAAGTAGGGTTATATTCAATTTTCTACAATTAATATTTGAGAGAAGAAACGAGACTTCGAAATAAATCAGCGTGGCGGGCTAAAGAAGAGCGTGGCAAGCTTAAAAAGTACCCGAAATTTTACCAAAAATATCAAAAAAATATTTGTAATTATGATAAAGTTGAAATATTTGAAGTCTGAGTTAGAAAGTTCATTTAGAATTCGAAGATATCCCGAGAAACAACTACAGATTTTTTTTATTTTCTCAAAAAGCACGCGAACATTGAAAGACGCCATAAAATTACTCAATTGCGGCGTTAAGTAATGATTACAATTAGGAACATTACTTAATTACAAGTTTAACATTTTCATAATTTTCAATGTAATTAATTTTGTGCGTCTCAAATAAATCTTTTACACTTTCAATGACTTTTTGATGAATTTCATCCACATATTCCGGTTGGGGGTTATCATTTTGTTGCACTTCGATTGGTTTGCCAACTGTAAGTTTATAAAAATAGCTCAAAGATTATTGAATAATATAGCCATTACATGCAGCACTACTCACCCACTTGTACAATACGACGCTTGAATGGTATCGGAAAGCCACCACGCCCCTTTACTAGTAATATCGATATGCCAAGTAAATATTTTATTATCAATTGCCAATGCAAGGCCCATTTACCATCCCAACGCTCGAAGCTGTCCACCTCACCGAAGGTGAAACATGGAACGATAGCAGCGCTAAAGGTGATAGAAAGGAGTTCTACTTATATACATACATAACTTTTATACATCGTCGAAAGGTCCTCGGTAAGCAGAAAATCATAAAAAAAATACTAATTAATAGCAAACTGCAAACAAATTTTATATATTCTGTATTTATATAATCAAGTCCAACTCTACCAATTTTTACTTGGATTGATCCGAGGTTTTTCTCTTTACCAAACGGGTATTACAACTTACTTTACCAGCTTTTTCGCATTATCAGGTAGCATTTCGAAAACCTTCTGCTCACAGCATAAATTAACAACTAATCATTCCTACAGGGCAATTTCGAAAATGGACAGCAGTAAAGCAGAGTAAAGTTTTATGAAAAGGAGTCTGGAAGCTAGCAGATTTTCAGAATTAATGATTGATCGTCTGAAGTTCTATTTAGAGATTTCCTGATCTCTTGGTGTCAGGACCGGACTGAAAGGCGAATGCAGAAGAACCTCCAAACCAAGCTTCCAGAGTTTCTGATGATTCAGTATCGATGTGTGAGGCCTAGGGTTGTCCTGAGGGAACACATTCCTTTTCTATTGTATTAACCAAAACTGGCCACTTTTGGTCTATTGCTTCATCTGAATAGACCAATTGTTGACAGTACAGGCCCAAATTAAGAATTTTACTGTAGAGGAGCAGCACATAGTAGATTATTCCCTGTCAATACCTCCAAACATAAAGCAAAATCTTTCCAACTCTTAGGCCTGGCATGGACACCGTTTGCGCCAGCTCATCATGATTCGGCCACGAATGTTTCCGCTTGTCATAAGTAACCCACTTAGACTTGATCGATTTTATTGCGATTCATCAGCGACTCGCAGATAGAAATTTGGTCCATGAGGTTTTTTTAGGTTAACTCTTGTGGCACCCATACATTGAGCTTCTTTTTACATCCAGCAGTATTTAAATGGTACCAAACGGTGTTTTGTGCAATGTTTATCTCTTGGGCAATCAAAACAGTGCTTACAATAAATCCCGATACGACGATTTCCATAATATTTTTGACAATTAGCCTTCCAGAACGTTCTACATCGTTGAGATCAAAATTATCGGAAGGAAATCGACTAAATCACGGTACCTGGACAATATACTGAGTCAAGCAATCACAAAACTATCGGAAAAGTTTTTTTTATTTCGAAATCTTATACTATTTCGAAAAAATACTTAAGCCATCTATTGGAATAATAATGAATTTCTTTGTACTAGACCTACAATTGTCGAATAAAAAGACCAGGTTATATGTATTATTATATTTATAACTTCTCTTCTAACATACTTACCCACTTTTTATAGCCACCCGAACAAATCCTTTACGTCTCAAAAATGTCACTTCATATTGGCCAGGACGAGAGTCTAAAGCCTCCTGTGCGCCGCCAACAATAATGAAAACACCGTTAGACGTAAAACCATCACCCTGCCAGCGGCTGGTCAAATAATGCATCAGTGAGTTTTCCGATACCGAAATAAAACCGGAAAGGCGTAAATATTCATGTAAGAATGGCGTCAAAAATGTGGCATTTAAAATCGTCTGCCTCGGTCGAATACCGGGAAATAGTGCTAGCCAATTGTCAATGTCATATGTAATGTTAATGGTGCAGCCATAACTAATCATAAAAATAAATAAATTAATTAATTAATGAAATTAAAAAGGGAGTTTATACTGATTATGAAAACTTACGTAATAACACCGTGCGGAAAATTCGCGAACACATAATGGCGGTTAGCGGGTAAATCTACAGTTTTCACCAATTCGATTGGGAAATAACGGCGTAGTTGTTTCCAAAGCCAATTACTGCGAAAGAATCTGAAGCTTTAAGAAATGAAGAATTTATTATTCATTTAAGTACGGTAAAAAATCTAGGTGGTCGTAACGAAATCTGTAACGCAACAAACTTCCGTCACATTTGTATGGTATATGCATATACTTGTATATTATATATAGAGCGATTCCGTGGGGACTATATGGTTGGTATAACTTTTTGCATTGCTTGGTACAACATTCAAATAGTTGAAAACCAAAAAGTTATGTAGATAGCTGCCACCCGTGTGAAATTTTTAAACGCTCAAATCTTTGAAATTTTGGATTTAAAAATAAGGACACAGAATACACTGAAAAGGTTAAAAAAAACTGTTTGTTAAAGCAATGTGGGAGAAGGGTTGCCACATATTTAAACAAGTTTAATTCGATACAGTTTTTATGAAAAACAAATTATTACAAAACAAGTTTCAAATTAAAGAAGTTTAATAGGGTTCGTAAATTTTTAGGAGAGTTGCCATCTGTTTAACTTGTAACTCTGTAAGATTTGTAAGAAAAACAGAATATTACAGTGTGAATATCAAATGAAATAATTTTAAGAGGACTTACAGTCTCAAAAAAGTTTGTAGGGTTGCCACTTGTTGAATTAATTTTATATGAAATTGATATTAAAATCGAATTTTTACAATAATTTAAGAGTAATATTTATACTCTTGCAACATGTTGCCTATATAGTTTTGTTCACCTAACGGATGTTTGTATTAACTAAAACTAATCGAAATATGTAGATATGGAGATATATGTACATACATATACATATATATGTTATAAATGATCAGTGTGACGAGACGAGTTGACCGTCCGTTCGTCCGTCCATCTGTCTATCTGTCCGTGCAAGCGATAACTAGAGTAAAAATTTAGATATCTCAATGAAACTTGCTACATATGTTCCTTGGCACCCACGGGAGGTTGGTATTGCAGATGGGCGGATTCGGACTGCCACACCCACAAAGCGCTATTAAACGATAATTACTATAACTTTCCAAGGTGCTTTTGGCTGATCATGTCGGTCAATCTGTGAGCTCTATTATTGAAATTCGGGGAGAGTATTTTCATTCCCTTATGCCAAAAATAGGTAAAATAGGGTGAATACATCTCTTAGCCCCCATATACCATATAAAAATATTTTGAACTTATGATTAACTTTATACCACAACTATCAATCAATATGTAAGAAATCTTAATGAAATTCCTAAAGAATATTTTTTTTTTTAAACAACAGTGTATCTTCTTGCCTGTGATTGTAAATAATGAATGCAATACTTTCTACTTTTAATTAAAATATATACGAAAATCCCGTATATCAATTTAACTTGCGATTATATAATATAAGTTTCCTTATTAAAGGGAAAAATTTGCCACTTGTGTTTATTTTTCATGCATTAAACTGATAAAAACAACGAATTATTAAGTTATGGGTAACAAATTAAAGTGTGAAAAGGCTTAGAAATGAAACAAAAATTAGGTGGGTTGCCACATGTTTAAAAAAGAAATTAATATAATTAATATGAAAGACGAATTTTTACAATAATTTAACAGTAGTAATTAGACATTATTAATTTTACTACAAAATTTTAAGAGATAATATTACTTCACTTATTTAAGGAAAACAACTGCCACTTGTTTTAATATTTCATGTTAGGACTTGAGACGGCTTACAGTTCATTCAAATAACTGGATAAAATAAATTCAATAATTAAAAATATAATTCACTTACCCATTTCCTTTGATGTTCAAAATGAATTTTGCGCTTGATAAGTGAATATAAAAAATATAGAGAAGCATCAATATCCTCCAAAAGAAGTTGCCATAAAGCTAAAATAGCTTACTTAAAAAACATTTAATAATAAATAAATAAATACTCACAAGTAAACCAATAGTCAGGATCCAGCAACATGAAAATACGATTGTGATTATCAAGAAATACATCACTGCAGCAAGTGCGCCCATAAATTGCCGAAACCCGTATCCTTGCTCTATTTTGGTCATTTTTTATGAAAGATTTTTGCTTTATACGTAAAATGTACCAACAACTTTTGTGTCACAACTGAAAGTGTTTGTTTCAAACTACCCACCATTGCCTCAAACTCTAAATTCGAAAACAAAGTGCATATTCTATCTACGGTAAAAACTCAAGCTTTTAAGTTAATCGAACCAATTAGTCACATAGCTGCATGCTTATTCTGCAGCTTTTAATACTTTTTTATAAACACAATTTTTATACTAAATAATAGATCAGCCTTTTTACAAACCAATTTACAATTAAACTCACTTTTAAAAACAAGTAAGGAAAAACTTAATTTAATTATAATATCACACATATTGACCCATATAAACCGTTTAAATTCAGATGAAAAATCGAAAATAACTATACCGGGTATATTTGGATAAGGGAATTTCTGAGAGAATAGTATTTACTTTTGGCATTCAAGTAAAGCAAACTCGAGAACATATTTTCACTAAATTTTATTAAGATAACTCACAATTTTACCGATATATTAGACATACAGTAACAGTAATCACCATTCACTTCATTCACCCATTTTTGCCACCAAACTATAGTATAACCTGGATTATACGCCCATCTTCAATCGGAAGTACGAAAATCACTATATTAGTTATATGGAGCTAAGGGAAGTATTGACCCAATTTTATCCATTTTTGCAATCTGAATACAACATTAACAAGACAATCTGATCTCTGTATTTCGATAGGCTATCTCGCATATCGCATATTGACCGATATATACGGTATAAAGTCAACCGGAAAGTTTAGTTCGAATCCTTATATTAGGTATGTGGAGCTACGGGAAGTATTGAGTTTCAATAAAATATCTCGCAGATTGACTGATATATACTTTATAATGTATTTTAAAAATCCTTATTTTAAATAGGTATATTGGAGCTAAGGAAGTACTGAACCGTTTTGACCCATTTTCGGCGCAAAGACACATTGTTAACAGAAAAAGACACTATCTGAGTTTTAATAATATACCATATGTAAATATCACACATACTAACCAATTTTTTCCGTGAAAAGTCAGCCATGTTCACTAAGGTCCACATATTCGGTATGTGAGGGTTTGAAAAGATACGGTCTGATTTCGACCAATTTTTTGTTATCTCTAGATGGCATACCTTACGCGCATTATTTGGACAACATTTATTTTGATTTTTCAATTGGTGGGAAGCAAATTAATATTTTGTCTCTTTTGTATTCTAATTTGTAGCTTATTTATACTTGTAGTACTTTATAATATAAAGGTATTTTGATGGAGTGCCGATAATCCGATTCTGCATCAGATAATAAAAGATCTGCATCTTTGCCCTAGTAGGAAACGCAGAAACGAGTTCCAACACGGCGACTGAAAATACATTCAAACAATATACTTCATGGTATTAGCTCAATGGTCCTCTCAAACCGGTGCGAGTGGAAATCCGTCAATAATTACTTTACGAGGAAACGCTGATTTGATTAGATTTAAATGATCATGTTTATTTCAAGTATCGTATGGTCGATCGTTTGCAGTTCAGATTTATCAACTCATTTAATACCTCTTTTTCTACGGCGACCTCCGGTGGATATTGGTGAAATTATTTTTATGTCGCATCTGCCGATGCATATAACAATGTTTCGTAAGAAGAGTTTTGAATATTGCGCCAATACGTCATTTAAAATCTGTTAAACATTAGTTATGTTATAATACAGTTCATTTCCGGCTCACCAAAACAAAAATTTGACAGCAGAGTTCTGTTGTGTTATAAAAATTCAGTGCCACTTCAGGGTTTTATGTTTATTCACAATAATTTTTTGAAAAAATAAAAAACTCGATCTCTAAAAAATTAATAAAAGAAGTAGAAACCATTTAGTTTAATTTAATCTATGCATTCATAAATATCTGAGTCCTTGTGGAAATATTCTCAATAAATTGAATTTGAATTGGAATCTACAAATTTATCTTTCTACAATCTACTATTGTGCATTGCTTGTGTAAAAGAAAGAAGGAGTGTTTATTTAAACTCGGTAACCCTACGTAAATCCTTCAGTTTTGAATTTAACCAGTCGCTTGTCATTATTTTTGTACTTTTTTCCGCGCCAATTCGAACTAAAATAGTTCCGCAAATTTCTTTTACTTAACAGTTAATCTCTAATTCTCTAAATAATTTTTGTTTTTGTTTAAAAATATTGGTGAACTAAAGCCGTTTATAATGTCAAATTCATTATCCGACCATAGTTCGCTTGGTAGCATGTGTGAAGAAGTACGTCCGTCTTTTCTACGTGCGCGTGATCCATCCGTAGATCGATGTTTTCGACCGCGACCAGATCGACAAGTAAGACTCTTCGATGAAATAAAAGAGGAAGGTCAAACTGAATATAGCAGCGATGCCGACGTTTCATCTTCTTTTGAAGACATATCCGTACCACTAAGTGAAGCGAGCAATGATCTAAGTACAGACACAAATGCTGCTTTAGTATATTTACGTTTGAAACCAGTAACACAAATATCAACATCGTATACAATTTCAACGGCGGGTGATGTGCTTATAACTGGGCCACCCAATGATGCATCATCAACAAGCAATAACAAAAATAAAATGGAGCAGCATTATAGTTTCTCAGCAGTGTTTGATAGTGCTGTAAAACAGGATGAAGTGTATCGTATTTGTATAGCGCCACGCATTGAAAGCCAGACTGACAACTTTACAGTGCTGACATACGGCACTTCGGGTTCGGGCAAAACATTCACGTTGCTGGGTAAGTGAGATTTGTAAGCTTTACTAGCATAAAAAATAAACGGATTTTTATTAACAATAGGTACGCCCAGCAAGCCAGGTATTGTGCCACGCGCCGTAGAGAACATATTTCGTATGAATGCGTCCAATATTTATCCACAACCTGCACTTAAATTAGAGAAAGGTTGTGCCTGCATATTAGATGATGAGGCGCTAGCCCGTGAAGAAAACATGCGTCAGACATTGCTAGAGTCATGCGGCGGACTAAATGCAGACCACGAACTGCTGGAGAAAACGATAAAATCAGAGCATGACTTTCAAACTATAGTGCAGGATGAAGTTTCCGTATTCATTTGGATATCCTTCGTGGAAATATACAATGAATTGGTATTTGATCTGTTAGCACCATCATCACAACAGCCAAAAACCAGTCAGCAAATGGCGCCACCACAACGAAAGGGTTTAAAAATTGTTACAAACGACGGCAAAGTTTTCATACAAGGTATAACCTCAGTGTATGTAAAATCATGTTCGGAAAGCCTGAAATTATTACATTGGGGTTTACAACATGTTTCTTACGCATCCACTTCTATTAATGCTAACTCAAGTCGCTCGCATTGTATATTTTTTATTGACATAATTAAATATTACAGCACCGGTGTGGTTGTGGATGTAAGTCTTTGATTTTCACTATAATTGTTATACTAAAAACTAAATTTTTTGATTTTCAGACTTCGTACAAATTCTGCGATTTAGCTGGTTCTGAACGTTTAAGTAAAACACGTAACATTGGTTCGCGTCTCAACGAAGCTAAAGGTATTAATACGTCGCTTATGACACTCGGTCGCTGTCTGGATGTAGCTAATAACAATAAAAAATTGAAAACCAAGGCCCAGGTGATACCGGTGCGTGAATCTAAATTAACAATGTTATTACAAACTGCCTTGTTAGGCAAAGAGAAGCTCACAATGATTGTGAATGTCACACCCATGGACACATTTTACGAAGAAAATATGAATGTGCTGCGGTTTTCTGCAATTGCTAAGAATATTACATTCAAACAGCCGCCAAAGCCTGTGAATAAGTCACGTTATTCATTTGTCGTTGAAAAGGCTAATTCCGCTGCTGAAGAGATCATATTGTAAGCATGTGGAAATTAGTTTATTTTTAAAATTTTTTTATTTAATTAACATATTTCTTAATATCGCGCACAGCTTACGCAGTGAGGTGGAGCGTTTACAATCGGAAATGCAATATCGTTTACTTGAACAAGAACGGATTTTGCGCAAGGAACTGGTCGAGTCATTTGAGAAGAAATTGGAGGAAAAGGAGAAGGATCACGAGCAAACCTTGAAGCATGAACTACAAATGCAGCAACGTTTGCATGATTTAAAAGTATAAAATATTAACAATTTCAATATTATTTTATTTCTAAGTATATGACTTTTTTTTCCTAATTTTAGATGGCTTCGCTTAAACGACAATATGAAAATAAAATTGAAGATCTGCGCGATCAACTAGAAGAAGAGGAAACAGAAAAGAAGCGTCGTACATTAGAATAACGGTAGCTAAATTAGGATCACTATTTAAATATATTTGTATAGAGTACCATTTGTTATGTTAGTTAAACTTTATTACATTTACTGTATTTGCTTTTAATATTATTAAAATGTAATTTCGTTTAAATATTTTTATACTGGCATTGAGCCAAGTTTCTTAAATATTAAATGGAAGTTGAAATTTTTTCTTAAAATACGGTTTTTAATAAGTAATTAAGTCTCAATACTAATATGCTATGTTTTGCATATTTTTGTTGTTATCGCTGTCATCTACATATTAGTTGTGCTTGTTTTTGTTTTGTCAAAGAAAAATCAAGAAAATGGTTACTCCGAAGTTATAATACCCTTAACAAATAAAAAAGTTTCGATAAAAGAACTTGACTTTAATCAGTCAGTTTTTTTAACAGCCATATGCCATAGTGGTCCGATCTGAACTATTTCTTCGGATATTGTAGCGTTATCTTAAATAATGTTCGATGCCAAATTTTGTGAAGATATCGTGTCAAATAAAGAATTTTTCATACAAGGACCTGATTTTGATTGATAAATGTGCATGGTAGCTAGATGCTGTAGTGGACCGATCTGAATAATTTCTTTGGAGATCGTACCGTTGCCTTGTAAATTAATTTGTGCCGAATTTCGTGAAGATATCGTGTCAAATAAAAAAGTTTTCTATGCAAGAACATAATTTTGATGGTTCAGTAATAATCATAAATTATTTGCCTCAGTCATCAAGGCATTAGTCTATAAAACACACACATTACAATGTTATATATATTACATTTTATTTACAGCTACAAGCACTGATCTATGCTTGTGGCAAAGCTTGAGGACCTTTCTCTAAGACAGCCTTTATAGTCTTCATCATAGTGGGTATAAGGCCGATATGCCTATCCACACATGCCACCGTACAATATTCGAAATGATGTTGATATTTGGAGAGTTCTGCGTCTCCAGGATTTAACGGTAGCCTCTCTCGAGCGTCTTCGCTGCATTTCTTAAAATTGTATAAGCAAAAAAATGTAAAGGCAAAATATAAATAAATGCAAGTTTGAAAGTCACACCATAACACAATTTTGCAAACGTCCTTGAAACTGTCCCAATTCATGTTGTAAATAGTCCTGAGCTTTAGTTAGCGGTACGGCGCAACCCTCAATGCAAGTCTGCACTGAATCTAAGGTTCCACGTTGGTCGTCACAACATTTAGATGCACACAAATGCATTTCAGACTGGGTTAGACAAAGTGTTCAAGTGAAAATTGTTTAAAAAAACAAAAACAAAGCGTTGCTGCATAGGTACCTACCTGCATTTTGCGTAAATGACTTGAATACATTTCGTTGATCATATCGGACACGGCGCGTTCTACGCGTTTACGTTGTTGTTCTATCATTTACGAGTGAATACCCTTATGCGGGAAGTTGAACGATGTATATTTACGGTGCGATTTGTTTGCCTAACACATTAGCTAAAATTAATTTGCACACAATTTGTTAAATTTGAATTTTCGTTGAAATAAAGTATTGCCAAAATAGTTGTTTGACATAAATTCTAAATGCTTTTCTTTATTACTCCACATTTATATTTTTTAACAAACAAAACAATTGTTCCTTATTTACTGTGCAATAAATGTTTCAAAATATAATCGTCTTCAATGATTACACACAGACTTTCATCAATATTTAAGAGTGGCGCTTTTTATGCTGGCAATTAAACTTGAGGTATGGACTCTGGACCTTTCGCCAATACGGATTTTATTGTTTTCATCATAGTAGGTATTAGTCCGACATGCTTGTCTACACACTGTATAGCGCAGCGTTCAAATTGGTCGGTATATTTGGCAATATCAGATTCGGAGGGATTTGGCGGCATTTTCACCTTGACATCATCGTTACATTGCTTAAAAAAGAAATGTTTTGGACAAAATTAGTTTTCTTCAAATGAAGGATAAGTAAGTGATCTGGCTTACCATAACACATCGCTGCAGGCGTCCTTGAAATTCACCCAACTCATGTTGAACGTAATTTTGTGCGCGTGTCAATGGCGCCGAACACCTATCCACACATCTCTGAACATTGTCAATGCTGGAATTCATATCCTGGCAACATTTCGCCGCACACAAATGCATGTCTGTCTACAAATATAGGTATATCGAGGATCACATTAGTTGCAATGTAAACATTTTGTTTGAATGTATGTCACCTGCTCACCTGCATTTTACGTAAATGAGTTTTATCCATATCGTCTACCATCTCTGTAACGGCACGCTCAATACGTTGTCTTTGTTGTTCGATCATAATTAAAATTTATTTAAAAAAATAAGAAAATTACACAATAATTGTTGAAAATTGCAGTTCAGGCGATACGAGTAGAATACCAGAAAACGTGCAGCGATTGCAACAGCTGATAAGAGAAAAAATGGATAAACGTCAAACTTCAGATAACCTTCTAATCAGCTGACATCAGTGTAACCAATGCTGAGTAAATGTAACACACCCAATAAAATTGTAGTATTTCAATCGTTATTATATACAATATAGGTTAACTAGAAGATAATGATATTTTAATAACATAATTTGGCCAAAAAAGTTCGATTGTTCAAGTTGTTGGTTAGAACGTCATTAAATATAATTAATTCAAAGTCTGAAAATTATACATGTATTTATTTTTAACTGGTGCCTCCTATTTAAATGTCATGTATGCAACCCCAACAGCTGTTGTTATGGTCGAATAAGCTTTTGACATAACACTTTATAACCTAAAATAAATTATGCGAATCGCTAAATTTACAATTTTTGAACCAAAAATGTATTCATTGTGCAAAATTACCACAGCAGCCGTTCGCGCTTCACAAATACCAAATTTATTACCACGTCTATCAGGCTTAAACAAACAGCAGGGCCTTCGAAGGTTGTGTACAAACAAGGGTATTACAGAAGACACCCAGAATACCATTGTTGAAAAGGAAACAACAGTGCCGAGTGGTACGAGTTCAAAAAGTGGGTTTGCATTAGCTTTTGAAAAGCACACAGATGCGGCTACTAATAAACCGGAAGAATTTGTTGACGACGAAACGTTTGCTACATTGTTAAGAAAATCAAAGTTCATAGACGTAAATAATCAATGATATTTCTTTTAAATAATATTAAAATACATAATCTAAATATTGTCACATTTTAGCTAGGGGATCCCGATGGCAAGATTGTCAGCGGAAAGATCTTCCACGTCGTTGGGGATGATTTATACATTGATTTTGGCTGGAAGTTTCATTGTGTATGCACACGTCCAGCACGCAATGGCGAGTAAGTATAAAAACATATATCTGGTTTATATAATTTTTCATACACCTCATTTTTAGGGACTATGTACGTGGAGCACGAGTAAGGTTACGCATTAAAGATTTGGAACTGTCGACAAAATTTTTGGGTTCAGAAAAGGATTTGACTATTTTAGAAGCTGACTGCCATTTGCTTGGGCTGTTATCATCTCCAGCTAGACAAAGCACAAAGTCAATAAACGTAAATGAAAAACCAAGTGTATTTGCATAAAATATAGTCATAATCAAATTGGTATACAAATAAACTTTACTACTTAATTAAAAAACTTTTATTACAACACTTAAATGTAATATGACGTCAACTATATATTAAATGGTTTGTTTGATCTATCTTCTTACATTGAAAAACTTCATAGTGATGATTTAACTCCCTGACTGCGTGCAGCTTCAAGCGTGTAACCAATGCACCATTATTAGAGCATTTTTCGAAAAAAACTCTTCGCGCACGACTGTGTACCAACGCCATAGCACACATTAGACACGGTTCTTGGCTTAAATACAAATCATATCCAGTACATAAATATGGACCATATTTTTCTAAGTTATCCACATTTTGAGCAGTATTTTGCTCACTGGCATCACATTTTATTTTACCCCTCGGTAATTCTGCACCTACTTTTATATCCTTAAATCTCTCATCAGTACGTATTAATTCCAAAACCCGTTTGGGTATACCACTTATGACGGAATTCACTTTTATATCATTGTAAATATCTTCGTTGACATTTTGGAATTCATGCGAAACCTCTTGTCGCCAAGCGCCACCATCTTGTGTGCGTGCTACGAAATCTACAAGCATCATGGGACAATGCATTACTGGACTAATTAATGCTCCGCTACTTGCCAAAGCAACAACACCCTTGGTTCGTGGATCAATGCAGATGCCACAAGGTTTGCTATGCTCCAACTCATTTGTAATACCTTCCAACAAATGCATAATTTTTGAATGGAAGTTTCGCTCTTTCTCATTAAATATACTTCCATTGTGGAGTGATTCCATATATTTGTCTGGATGAAATTTGCAAGGCCAATATGTTTGCGCCAGCTCATATTGCCAACGGAGCAGAGACGGTAGAGCAGGAACATCATATTCACGTACGTTTTTACACAAAAGATTGACTACATTATGACTAAGTCCGACAGACTCTAAGTACCGAGATAAGCTTTGACCATTTAAATCATTAACTTGGCACAAAAGAATATTCTGTTGTCGTACACGTTTTAAATGATGCAAGTTCATTCGTTCCAGCGGTAGCATTTTACTTAGTTCCTGCATTACATTCGAAATTAGTCGCTTATTGTCCAATTCACTTAGGTAAACTCTAACACGTGGAACCTCTTTGGAGTATTCATCAGTCAATATGGCAGAGGTATACCACTCGGGATTGTCATTTAATTTCAAACGTTTTATTGGCCGAGAGTTGTCGTCCTCCATAGTAAAACACCGTTTATACAAATATAAATCAACACGAGTTAATTAAAAGAGATAAATATATACAACAGTATGAGCACATATGTATATATATTAAGTTAACTTGTTTTTGTTGCTCTTCCCCACTTTCTAAACAATTATAATCAGCTGTTTAATCAATGTCACTATTAAAATCAAAATAATAAACAAAAAATTATGAACGTATATATTGTTATATATAATATGAGATATACGTTCTCTGTTATGAAGCAGATTTGAAGGCTACTATCGTAAAGCTGAACATTTTTCCCCCAAGTTGCTTCGTGAAACACACCAAATTATCATTAAAAAATTTAAATATGTATTATGTATTCATTAATCATTTAAGTTTGCAATATTTCACATTTTTTTAACAACTCAAACAGAGAACGTATATTATATACTATACCTTCTCTGACTCGAAACAAACCTCCTCCTACTAAATTTTTGTAATAATTTAGAGCACTGGCACCTACTCATCACATGAAAACAAACAAGTCAAAAATCGGATGATAAATAGAGAGAAGAAGCAGTAGAAATAAATGCTACCATCTTTAATGATAAAGTGTATGTTTGTTATTATTATACAATTTCTATTAAAAACTGTATAAAAAGTGTAAAACAGAGTAAATGAATTGATGGGTTAATTTTCAAAACTTATGATTTTTACTTCATATTGACTGGACGCCTCGCAGTTGGTGCTAACTGTGTTATTGTAAAAGCTTCACATATGTAAGAATTTCGACAGTGGCATCACCGACAATCTGGTGATAAAATTTGGCAGCAACAAAGTTGTTGAAGAGCTTCATTTGGTGAAATTAACAAATTGATTGTGAAGAAAGCAAACAACGCAGCAGTTTTGATTTTAATAATCAATATTCATAACATAAAATAGACTTTAAATAACTGAACCAACATCTTGTACAGGTGAATGAACTTGATACAGTTATTTTTCTCGGCAACCACAACCTGCCCTCATCTCGCTTTACAAACTACCGTTTTATCAGTGCACCTAAATTCTTAATAAGTGGGCCTGGTGAACCGGATAACAGTTATTTCTTCTACATACATGTGAAGTGACTAAAAAAGAAGAACGTGCATAACCATTTGATACAACGGTGACGTAGACAAAGCGAAATGGAAATCGGTGAGTAAAAACGCGTATACCGCTAACAAAACTCATATATAATCGATAAACAATTACCGTGCGTCGTCCCACCCTTCACCACCCAACGCCGTGTCAACGACAGTATAGTATCGTGATTCCATACCAAATTCGTCACAGTTATTTTAATGTTGTTCTACCCGCGGCGGAATAATAGAAATAATTTATTTTGTATGTAAAGTGTGGTGATGTTTATTTAAAATATTTATGTGCGTCGTGTTTACACAATATTTTGTTATAAAATGACGTTGCAATTTAAAACAAATATATATTCCACTTACCATAATGTGCCAAACACGACCACCGCCCCGTCGCACAATCTCCTACATCTATTTGTGTCTTGCACTTTCCCAATGTTTACAACGTTCGTGTGTTTGTTTAGATTGATATTGTCGGTACTCACCGGCTGTAGCCATAAAAACGCGCTAGCCGTTCATTCGCTCTCAAAAGTCGCGCCACCATTTACGCCGGGAGCACTAATTGACCTTGGTTTCTTATTGGATGTTGAGGCTCGCGCCATTTCTACGTTAACGTCGTTAGTGCTGCCAGATGTAATACGAAAAATATGTTCTAAATCATGTTACGTTGGGAACAGTGGGTAGTTTTAAAAATACACTTTTGAAATTAAAAAACAAAGTTTAATTAAATAATTGTTTAAATAACGACAGAAATAAATACGCTATTTCGTTGGCAGCTGACTTGCTTTCTTTCATGTTCGAAATTATAAATGCACTGTGAAGCTGTGTTTGATAGTATTTCAAACTATACAATTTCCGAAACTAATAATTTATTTATTTAATATTTTCATTCTTTTGACATTTATGTGCATGTGCTTGCATGTACATATGTATATATATTATATATGTTTGTATATATATGGTACATACTCATGCACATAAGGTTCTGATTATAATATTCTTTGCTGTTGTTTTGTTTTTAAGTAAATAAAAAGCTTGATTAAATTACTGTTTTTTTTTTTTAAATGTTCATATCTATTTGTAAAGATTTTATAGAAAAACATTTAATGATTACTACTAGATGCAAATTAAACAAAAAAACGAATATTTTACTTGTGTTAAACCGAAGGTTTCTGTAATGTCCAACCACCGTTCTATCGGCTTTTTAATATGAGAGTAACTTAAAAAAATGTGTGTGTTATAATAATAATAAATTCCCCAAGCAAGTTTGTTTAATGCCGCTCAGAAACAGACCTTAACCCTTCAGGTTCCCTTTCGTATAAAGGAGACTTAACCTAAGAGGAAACAAGCTATCAAAAGATACGATGGAAAAATCCTATATTCCTATACTAGAACTATAGTAATCTCTACCGGAAATAAATATATATCTAAACAAGAAAAAATGTTAACTTCGGTTGCACCGAAGCTATAATACCCTTCACAGGTACAAAGGTTCCTTACAATAACTTGATTCAGCTCTAATTTCGTGAATCAGCAATAAAAAATAAAATTTTTTTCCAAGCAGGCACTTTACTCCGATCGTTCAGTTTATATGATAGCTGTATGACATAGCGATCCGATCTAAACAATTTTTTCGGAGATTATATTCGTGCCTTAGAAAATAACTCATGCCAAATTTTGTCAAGATACCTCGTCAAATGAAATAGTTTTTCATGCAAGCACTTTACTCCGATCGTTCAGTTTGTGTAGCAGCTATATGCTATAGTCATCGGATCAATACAATTTCTTCGGAGATTCCGTTGTTGCCTTAAATAATAACTCATGCCTAATTTCGTGAAGATAACTCGTCAAATGAAAGAGTTTTCCATACAAGCACTTGATTCCGATCGTTCAGTTTGTATGGCAGCTATATGCTATAGTGGTCCGATATCGGCCATTCCAGCTTCTTGGTGAGAAAAGGGCAGGTGCAAAATTTCAGATCGATAGCTTAAAAACTGAGGGACTAGTTTGCATATATATAGACAGACGGACGGACGCACAGACGGACATGGCTAAATTAACTCAGCTCATCATGCTGATCATTTATATATATATTTTATAGGGTCGCCAACGTTTCCTTCTGGGAGTTACAAACTTCGTGGCAAACTTAATATACCCTGTTCAGGGTATAAATATTATATCAGTTATCCAAAAATTAATGCTTTTTAAATTGAAGTTCTTAAGAGTATCTAGAAAGCGTAGCTAAAATCAAAGTAACGTTTATAATAACTACTTATTTTTTATAACGAAATTTTGAACGAAATGAATTAATTAATTTTTGTAGATTATACCAACATACAAACATATATATATACAAACATACATCGGGATTAATCGCATGATTGAATGCTGTTTAAGTTCATGTTTTTATGAATATGGTCGCGTGTAATCAGTAAATGAACGCATGCCTATGTGTAGTGATCACACCGATTTTATAAGAATCACCTCATCATCGTTTGCGTACGATTGCGCTAGGCGAATTTGCTTAATCTTCACAGCGTCCGACATTGACATTGTTGATGTATCACCATGCTTTTGTTATTCTCTTATTTTGCATCTTGTGCAGCAATAATAAATAATGTTCAATATATACCGACTAATAATTTGCGATTTTGTTATCAATTTTGAAAGCTAGTACAAATGTTCAATAATTGTATGGGTGCACGTTGCTACCGGCTAGAAATTATATAATATTAAATTAAGAAAGTACTATTTGTATGTATAAAGAAGTAGTTTATCTGCTCTGCCGAGGCAATTATCATATTGACATTTAATCTGGCACGCGTATGTGTTTTTCTTTTTGCCTCATCTGTACATACGTACAGGTTATCTACACATGTATATATAAATAATTTTAAGTGCGTGAAATTCGCACAACTGTGTTTTTTTTTTCTTTCTTGTTTTAAATAGCTGAAACAAGTTTTATTTTTTTAAACTATTTATGGTAAATAATTATCACATACTTATGTACATGTATTTGTTCGTAATTCAAGCAGGTGGAGTAATCCTCTTGCATACCCTGTACAGGCTATATTACATTTGCCACGTAGTTTGTAACTCACAGAATGATATGTCGGAGACCTTGTAAAGTATATACATATGTGTGTACATATATATAATGATCAGCGAGCTTGAGTAGATTTAGCCAGGCCTGTCTGTCTGCCCGTCTTATATACGCGAACTAGTCCCTCTGTTTTAGAGATATCGATCTGAAATTTTGCATACGCCCTTTTCTCCCAAAGAAGCTGATCATTTATCGGATTGGTCGAAGTCGGACCACTATAAAATAGCTGCCATAGAAATTGACGAATCGAAATCAAGTTCATTGTGCGAAACTTTCTTATTTGACAAGATAACTTCACGAAATTGGTATAGCTTATCGATCAATCTAGATAAAGATATTTTTATATTCTTTTATGCTATAAAAAAATGCAGCTGTTAAGAGCATTATAGCTTCAGTGCAGCCGAATTTAACGTTTTTCTTGTTATGTGTTTTAATAAAAGCACCTTTCCACAATAATATTTCAAAATATAGCACTACCACTGTTATTTTTTTTTGTAGCGGCATAACATTATGCAAATAGTCTTTAGAGATGCTGTTGAGATGACAATTCTTAAACAAATAAAAATCCAAATCCAGATCCAAAATGTCCACTAAATGTCGTTAGTAAAAGATTTTGCGGAGAAGCAGGTAGTTGTTTGAAATATAAAATCTTTGTTTTGTGAGTTTTATAAGTTGAATAACCTTTGGAATATTTGTTGTAGATGCTTAAATAAGTAGTATAACGTGCTTTACAATAATAAATTTGTAAAACGCTCAATGTATGTGCCTGCATATGTATGTGTGTGTGTGTTGTGTATACATGTGCAGAGTGTAGTTTAGCACTATTCAAAAACTCAAAACTAATCAGGTGGCACTCATTTCACAACAAATAATACATATGTACATATGTAAATGAAGATTTTTTTTATTAATGCATTGATTTTAAGTATAATTGCAAAAGGTCTTTTTATTTCAACAAACGTCAAACATTAAAAAGTATTTACATACATATTCATGTGATAAGCAGCTAGTCGCACGCGTTCTGATTGTTTCCTCCGAAGCAAGCGCATGCTTTCGTGTATATAAAGAAGTATTGTATATACTTGTAGTTAATAAAAGTGTATGTATGAGGTATAGACCGTGCTCCTTCATAAATATGCACCTGTACATGTGCTTACGAGTATGTCTCTAAGCGATCGGCAACTAAACAGTAGCTTAGACGGCCGCTTGGTACGCACCGCAACCTAGCTCAGCTCAACACATCACAGCGCAGCGCCGCGCCACACTCAAGGCGGCAATCCAATTCAATCCAATTCCATTTGCCAACAGTAGGTCAAGCGTATGTGATAACATTGCTGAATGGTTGATTTCAAGTTTCAGTTACCGCACGACCGCCGACCACTCAAGAAGTTCACTAAAATTTTCGTGTGCATACCGTATAAACAAAACGCATACACACATATATATATATATATATATGTATATGTATATACAGCCAAGCTAATCGTACTATAAGTGATCGTGTATG